GGTGAAGATTACGGGCCATATATCTTAGGAGCAGTAGACATCATCATGATCAGTCATTCAAATACATGGTACCAGTATATATATAAGTACTTCGAAGTATGAATTACACTATAACTCATCACATGGTGACAGGATGTCTGATGCGATGTACTCTCACAAACTATAAATCTGATACAATCAGTTGCTTCATGGATCTTCGCTATTGGAGGAAAAACCTGTGTTTCAATATGTATTGCATGGTTGACAGCCTTCATGTTTGTTAACACTTGCACGACTCAAGGTGCCCCAAAGTAGTAGACTACTGTATCGTTTACTAGTACTCGATGAAAGGTTGAGGTCACGGGATAAGAATACTAATACTACGTAGTAATCACTTTTACAGTTCGTGCTAAGAAATTACTAGTATTTAAGTACTGTAGTAGTACTACGTAGTAGTAATCCACTCCAAGTTTACAAAATGCGTTTCCAAAAAGTCACTTTGCCCTCGCCGTCGGCATAAAAGTCGGGGATTTCGCCGCAGTTTGTGAACCCCCAGCGGGTGTAAATCGCTCTCGTCTTGGCCAACATGTCTGTCGCGCTGGTTTCCACGAGCAGAATGCGTGCGCCTTGCTGCCGCACAAATGCTTGGACAAACTCCATGAGTCGACGACCGACGCCTTTGCCTTGATGGCCCGGAGCGACGCCAATCCACCACAAGTTCCACACTCGATCCGTGTCCTTCATGATGCTCAAGTAGACCCAGCCATTGATGGTCTCGTCGTCCACTGAAACAAACGCATAATGGTGGTCTCCCAGCGCGTTGGCATAGAGGTGGTCTAACGTTTCCCCAAGGAGCATCTCGGCTTCGCCAGGCTGGAAGATGCCAGTGGAAGCGGCAAGAGCGACGAGGCTGGCTTTGCTGTCAGTGGGGGCTACAGGGCGAATCATGTTGTGGGGCTGATGATTGTTGCGGCCAACGGAAGTTCAAGGAACCTGCGAGTGTTCGCTGTTCGCAGTCTCGTCTGGCGTTGGGGTGAAGATTACGGGCCATATATCTTAGGAGCAGTAGACATCATCATGATCAGTCATTCAAATACATGGTATATATATAAGTACTTCGAAGTATGAATTACACTATAACTCATCACATGGTGACAGGATGTCTGATGCGATGTACTCTCACAAACTATAAATCTGATACAATCAGTTGCTTCATGGATCTTCGCTATTGGAGGAAAAACCTGTGTTTCAATATGTATTGCATGGTTGACAGCCTTCATGTTTGTTAACACTTGCACGACTCAAGGTGCCCCAAAGTAGTAGAATACTGTATCGTTTACTAGTACTCGATGAAAGGTTGAGGTCACGGGATAAGAATACTAATACTACGTAGTAATCACTTTTACAGTTCGTGCTAAGAAATTACTAGTATTTAAGTACTGTAGTAGTACTACGTAGTAGTAATCCACTCCAAGTTTACAAAATGCGTTTCCAAAAAGTCACTTTGCCCTCGCCGTCGGCATAAAAGTCGGGGATTTCGCCGCAGTTTGTGAACCCCCAGCGGGTGTAAATCGCTCTCGTCTTGGCCAACATGTCTGTCGCGCTGGTTTCCACGAGCAGAATGCGTGCGCCTTGCTGCCGCACAAATGCTTGGACAAACTCCATGAGTCGACGACCGACGCCTTTGCCTTGATGGCCCGGAGCGACGCCAATCCACCACAAGTTCCACACTCGATCCGTGTCCTTCATGATGCTCAAGTAGACCCAGCCATTGATGGTCTCGTCGTCCACTGAAACAAACGCATAATGGTGGTCTCCCAGCGCGTTGGCATAGAGGTGGTCTAACGTTTCCCCAAGGAGCATCTCGGCTTCGCCAGGCTGGAAGATGCCAGTGGAAGCGGCAAGAGCGACGAGGCTGGCTTTGCTGTCAGTGGGGGCTACAGGGCGAATCATGTTGTGGGGCTGATGATTGTTGCGGCCAACGGAAGTTCAAGGAACCTGCGAGTGTTCGCTGTTCGCAGTCTCGTCTGGCGTTGGGGTGAAGATTACGGGCCATATATCTTAGGAGCAGTAGACATCATCATGATCAGTCATTCAAATACATGGTACCAGTATATATATAAGTACTTCGAAGTATGAATTACACTATAACTCATCACATGGTGACAGGATGTCTGATGCGATGTACTCTCACAAACTATAAATCTGATACAATCAGTTGCTTCATGGATCTTCGCTATTGGAGGAAAAACCTGTGTTTCAATATGTATTGCATGGTTGACAGCCTTCATGTTTGTTAACACTTGCACGACTCAAGGTGCCCCAAAGTAGTAGAATACTGTATCGTTTACTAGTACTCGATGAAAGGTTGAGGTCACGGGATAAGAATACTAATACTACGTAGTAATCACTTTTACAGTTCGTGCTAAGAAATTACTAGTATTTAAGTACTGTAGTAGTACTACGTAGTAGTAATCCACTCCAAGTTTACAAAATGCGTTTCCAAAAAGTCACTTTGCCCTCGCCGTCGGCATAAAAGTCGGGGATTTCGCCGCAGTTTGTGAACCCCCAGCGGGTGTAAATCGCTCTCGTCTTGGCCAACATGTCTGTCGCGCTGGTTTCCACGAGCAGAATGCGTGCGCCTTGCTGCCGCACAAATGCTTGGACAAACTCCATGAGTCGACGACCGACGCCTTTGCCTTGATGGCCCGGAGCGACGCCAATCCACCACAAGTTCCACACTCGATCCGTGTCCTTCATGATGCTCAAGTAGACCCAGCCATTGATGGTCTCGTCGTCCACTGAAACAAACGCATAATGGTGGTCTCCCAGCGCGTTGGCATAGAGGTGGTCTAACGTTTCCCCAAGGAGCATCTCGGCTTCGCCAGGCTGGAAGATGCCAGTGGAAGCGGCAAGAGCGACGAGGCTGGCTTTGCTGTCAGTGGGGGCTACAGGGCGAATCATGTTGTGGGGCTGATGATTGTTGCGGCCAACGGAAGTTCAAGGAACCTGCGAGTGTTCGCTGTTCGCAGTCTCGTCTGGCGTTGGGGTGAAGATTACGGGCCATATATCTTAGGAGCAGTAGACATCATCATGATCAGTCATTCAAATACATGGTACCAGTATATATATAAGTACTTCGAAGTATGAATTACACTATAACTCATCACATGGTGACAGGATGTCTGATGCGATGTACTCTCACAAACTATAAATCTGATACAATCAGTTGCTTCATGGATCTTCGCTATTGGAGGAAAAACCTGTGTTTCAATATGTATTGCATGGTTGACAGCCTTCATGTTTGTTAACACTTGCACGACTCAAGGTGCCCCAAAGTAGTAGAATACTGTATCGTTTACTAGTACTCGATGAAAGGTTGAGGTCACGGGATAAGAATACTAATACTACGTAGTAATCACTTTTACAGTTCGTGCTAAGAAATTACTAGTATTTAAGTACTGTAGTAGTACTACGTAGTAGTAATCCACTCCAAGTTTACAAAATGCGTTTCCAAAAAGTCACTTTGCCCTCGCCGTCGGCATAAAAGTCGGGGATTTCGCCGCAGTTTGTGAACCCCCAGCGGGTGTAAATCGCTCTCGTCTTGGCCAACATGTCTGTCGCGCTGGTTTCCACGAGCAGAATGCGTGCGCCTTGCTGCCGCACAAATGCTTGGACAAACTCCATGAGTCGACGACCGACGCCTTTGCCTTGATGGCCCGGAGCGACGCCAATCCACCACAAGTTCCACACTCGATCCGTGTCCTTCATGATGCTCAAGTAGACCCAGCCATTGATGGTCTCGTCGTCCACTGAAACAAACGCATAATGGTGGTCTCCCAGCGCGTTGGCATAGAGGTGGTCTAACGTTTCCCCAAGGAGCATCTCGGCTTCGCCAGGCTGGAAGATGCCAGTGGAAGCGGCAAGAGCGACGAGGCTGGCTTTGCTGTCAGTGGGGGCTACAGGGCGAATCATGTTGTGGGGCTGATGATTGTTGCGGCCAACGGAAGTTCAAGGAACCTGCGAGTGTTCGCTGTTCGCAGTCTCGTCTGGCGTTGGGGTGAAGATTACGGGCCATATATCTTAGGAGCAGTAGACATCATCATGATCAGTCATTCAAATACATGGTATATATATAAGTACTTCGAAGTATGAATTACACTATAACTCATCACATGGTGACAGGATGTCTGATGCGATGTACTCTCACAAACTATAAATCTGATACAATCAGTTGCTTCATGGATCTTCGCTATTGGAGGAAAAACCTGTGTTTCAATATGTATTGCATGGTTGACAGCCTTCATGTTTGTTAACACTTGCACGACTCAAGGTGCCCCAAAGTAGTAGAATACTGTATCGTTTACTAGTACTCGATGAAAGGTTGAGGTCATGGGATAACAACTTCTATTTCACTACTGAAGTACAGTATGCAGTACTCCGAGTATATACTACTACGTAGTACTAGTAGTATATAACTGTACTGTACTGTACTGTACTGTACTGTACTGTACTGTACTGTATGTACTTACTGTAGGGGTGTAATTTCCGCCCAATCGGCAGCCAATCACAATCATCATATGAAGATGATACCTGTAGCATTTAATGCTTGCGTATAGTACCGGTACTCTGACAAGTTATGTACGAGTAGTACTGTAGTATATTCTGGGCTACGGTAGATAATTCCGGATGAACCGGATAAATATTCGGATATCCTCCGGATAAGCAGTTCCTGCAATCCGTGGTTTCCATCTTCGCTCGGCGATTATTTTTGTATGGAAATTAGAATGGGCTCCAGGCGGATTCTGGCTCGGGGGATGGTTTTATAATTTATGGCCTGGAACAATTCAATCCGATAATCGAGTTGTTTGCGGTGGAGAGATGGCCGACGCCGCCCCGGTGCCGTACTGCGTGTGCCAAAACACAGATGGAGGTAAGTGGTACGGTCGATGTTCATGTATTGCCCATGCTCATGTGGACTTGTCATGTTGTAGCGGGCATCATGATCGAATGCATTCGGAATACAGGGGGATGCAACGGATGGGTCCACCCAACGTGCTGCGGGCTTCTGTTGACGGAAGACGAACTGGAGGCGATCGACAGCTACATTTGTCCCATGTGTGAATCGCCCACCGACGATTACACCAAGATGAAAGCGGTCAACACGAAGCGCGCGAACAAGCTCGCGTTGAAAGCCCGCGAACAACAGCAAAAGGGCGGTGCGGGGACATCCACGTCGACAAGTAGTAGTAGCAAGAAGGAGAAGAAGCGCAAGCGCGAGGAGAAGGAGGACAAGGACGGCGGCGTGTATCGATGGAAATGCAAGGGGTGCTCGCAGAAGAACGACCCCGCGAGCACGGCGTGTGCGTCCTGCGACGAGCCGCGCAAGAAGCACAAGCACAAAAAGTCGTCGAAAAGTCACCACACCAGCGACGACGACGAGACCAAGGTGTCGTCGGGCGACAAAAAGGACAAGAAACGAAAGCGCGAGAAGAAGGACAAGAAGCACAAAGAATCGCGCCGAAGCCATCGAAGCGACCCAAGCTCCAAGAAGGCGTACCACGTGCCTGGCTCTGACGACGACGACTTCTCGGACGGGTCGGAGGCCGAAGTGCAGTTCAAGCAGCCGCCAATCCTCGAGCCGGTTGATTCGCCTGCGGTGCCTGGCGACGCGACGCTGGTGCCCGCAAGCGTCAACAACGTCGGCATGGTGGTGATGACAATTGAGCGGATCATGGGCCACAAGCCAGTTGCGGACCCTTCGTCTGCCACTTCGACAACGACTCCTTCGTCGTCGTTTGTGTACTTTATCAAGTGGAAAGGGTACTCGTACATCCACGCGACGTGGGAGTCGGACGCGACGCTGCTGCAACTAGACCCGACCAACAAGCACAAGATCAAGCGGTACTTGGAAAAGAGCGTGGTCGCTCCGACGGCGGGAGGGGGGCCGCCGCGGGCACTCGACAGCGAAGACGACGTCGAGTACTTCAACCCAGAGTACCTCGAGATCCACCGCATCCTCGACATGCGGCGCGACAGTCCGCCTCTGTCCTCGTCAGACCAAGTCATCGACGACGGGTGGCGGTACTACATCAAGTGGCGCGTGCTGTCGTACGCCGAGTGTACATGGGAGCGCGCATGTGATATTGTGGACGACGACGCGATCAAAAAGTTCCGCAAACGCACGACGTTGCCCCCGGACTCGTCCTCGGTCGACAAGCCCCCCATCGACCCCCTGGCGCGGCCGTCGCTCCGCGAGTTCAAAAAGCTAGAGACGTCGCCCTTGTTTGGCGAAAACAAGTCGTTTTCACTGCGAGCGTACCAGCTGGAAGGTCTGAATTGGCTGCGGTGGAACTGGTACAACAGCCGCGCGAGCGTCTTGGCCGACGAGATGGGGCTCGGCAAGACGATCCAGACTCTGGCGTTTCTAGATGACCTCCGCGTGTCGCAGCACCTGCCAGGTCCGTTTCTGGTCGTGGCGCCGCTGTCTCTGATTGCGCAGTGGCAGAGCGAGTGCGAGACGTGGACAGATATGGACTGCGTCGTGTACCACGGGTCGTCGGAGGCGCGGGAGATCATCCAACGCTTTGAGTTTTACCATTTGGTGCATGGCAAATTGGACAAGAGAAGAGGGTTCAAGTTTCACATTCTAGTTACGACGTACGAGATTGCAATCAAGGACATTGGCCTGCTGAGCAAGATCCAATGGCAGTGCTTGGTCGTGGACGAAGCCCATCGCCTGAAGAACCAGAGCAGCCGCCTCGTCGAGCAAATGCGCAGCCTACGACGGGCGTACTGCGTGCTCTTGACGGGCACCCCCCTGCAGAACAAGACGGAGGAGCTGTGGGCGTTGCTCAACTTTCTCGATCCAATTGCGTTTCCATCGCTCGCGACGTTTCTGGGGCAGTTTGGGTCGCTCCAAGACGCCAGTCAAGTGGCGGATTTGCACAAGTTACTCAAACCGTACTTGCTCCGACGAGTCAAGGAAGATGTGGAAAAGTCGTTGCCCCCAAAGGAAGAAACGATCATCGAAGTGGAGCTCACGGCCGTGCAAAAGCAGTGGTACCGCGCCATCTACGAACGCAACACGGCGTTCCTCATGCGTGGCCAGGGCGGAGCCAACGTCCCGAACCTGATGAACGTCATGATGGAGCTACGCAAGTGCTGCAACCACCCGTACTTGAACAACGGGGTCGAAGACGCCATCTGCGAACGCGTGACCACCGACGCCGAGCGGTTTGAGATGCTCGTCAAGTGCTGCGGGAAGATGGTGCTGCTGGACAAACTGCTGCCGAAACTCAAAGAAGGCGGCCACAAGGTGCTTATCTTTAGCCAAATGGTGCGTGTGTTGGACTTGCTGGAGGATTACATTCGAGGCATGGGCTACTTGTACGAGCGACTGGACGGGTATTTATTCCGTTTGAAAGTATATGTATGTTGGTGACCTGTTTGAAATTTTTAGCAACATTCGAGGCAACGAACGACAGGCTGCCGTGGATCGATTCGTCAAGCCAGAGTACCAGCGATTTATCATGATGTTGAGTACCAAAGCGGGCGGGCTGGGGCTGAATCTGACTGCGGCTGACACGGTGATCATTTACGACTCGGACTGGAACCCGCAAAACGACCTGCAAGCCCAAGCGCGGGCCCATCGCATCGGACAAACCCACTCTGTCAAGATCTACCGCTTGATCACTCGAAAAACGTACGAAATGCATATGTTCCACAAGGCCAGTTTGAAGCTGGGTCTCGACCGCGCCGTGCTGACCCACATGCGGCAAGAGCAGGACAAAGAGAGCAAAAATGCCAAAGCCATGGTCAAGTCCAAGGTAGGTACCGTATGACGCCACATTGTCAGCGCCAACATGAGACTTTTGTGCTGGTTTTCCATCGATTGCTTTTGTGCTGACTTTTGTATGTAAAACATGTCGTAGCGGGGTGATGTTTGCTCATCACATCACACACTACTTCGTAGTTGATTGGTTGAACGGATGATGTTATTTCCTGCAACTTGATGGGCTAAATACGTCTTTCTTGCCGATCTTTGGTTGGGTCGAACGGCAATATAATATATGTTGTGACATATGATGTGTAGGCCCAAGAAGCGCAAGAGATTGACGAACTGCTCAAACGTGGGGCGTACGATGTCTTTCGAGACGACGACGAAGCATCCGAGCAGTTTTGTGCCGCGGATATTGACACGCTGTTGCAGCGCAGTTCTCAAATCGTCGAGTACGAGTCGCAGGCCCGGGGGTCGTTTTCCAAAGCTAGCTTTGTCTCGGTAAACCATCGATATTCTGACATATATATATCCAAACCCATTGGAAATGATATATATACCAACGTCAAAGGGTACACGACTAATTTGAATGGTGTGTGTATCACAGGCCGCCACGTCGGACGACGTGGACATTGACGACCCCGACTTTTGGAAGAAAGCGGTGGGCCTCGCCGAGCCGGACGTGCTGGACGAGGCGGCGTCGCTCGTGCTGAGTTCGCAGCGCAAACGGACCCGCGTCGCGCGCTTCGGGACGAAGGAAGCGCTGTCGGACGACGACGACGACGACGACAAGGATGTGACGACGACCAAGAAAGATGCCGACAAACCGCCCAAGCCAGAAGTGTCGCGGGAGTGGACTGTGAATGGCCGCGACCGACTCCAACGCGCTTTGATGCATTTTGGGTTTGGTCGGTGGGAGATCATTCGAAGCCAAAGCGGCGGCAGTCGCACCGTCGAGGAAGTGGAGATGTTTGCGCGGGCGTTTGTGCTCGTGTGTGGGCTGTGCTGCGCCGGCGTCGTGCAGGCCACCGACGCGCCGTTCGTCCAAAGCGCCATCCTGGCCGCGTCCCACGCCAAGCACGAGTACATGACCGAGGCAGAGGCGTGGACGGACCACGCGACCAAAACTATCCCACTGGTACGTTGCATCCTTCCTGGATTTGTAGTACATGTGTTGTTTGGAAATGCGAGTAAAATGGAATGAATGGTCTTCCACGTGTAGACGCAGTCTGTTCTAGCCCACCATTCTATCTTGCCTCGTATATATGCTAGCTACTATCGTAATCACGAATGAGTGGTGTGTGTGTTTACTTTGTATGTTTATGCGATATGCATTGAGAAAAGTACAATATGTTGCTGTTATTGATTGGAACCATGTGTGTAGGTATTGCAAGAAGAAGAGTTTGTGCTCAAGTTGAAACAAGGCGGCGCCCGGCGAGTGTTAAGTCGTTTGGATATTTTGAGCCGCCTCCAAGTCAAGTTGGTGGCGTCATGTGTGGCCCTGGAGAAGGAGCGCGACGGGGATGAACCGCCGCACGGCCTCGTCGACTTGGACGCGCGCGTCGAGTTCCTAGGGCTCGAGAACGTTCTCCATCGTTTGGAGTTTGCGATTGGGTCGGACCGGCCGCAGTGGTCCAACTTGACCCCGTGGTGCGTTCGAATAAAGCAGTTTCTGGAGGGGTTCTTACGGGGTTGTTTGTAGGTGGGATTACGCGGCGGACAAGAGCCTGTGCATGGGGGTGTTTTTGCATGGCTACGGCCGATGTGCGCAGATCATCAGCGACCCGCGCCTGTGCTTTCACCAGCGGGAACAATCGGTCACTGCCGACAATCCATTGGCGGCAGAGGACAAACCCAAGTTTCCCCAACCAGAAGTCCAGCAGATGAATCGGCTGCTCATTTGGCTGCTTTCGATCGAAGACGCCCAGCGCCAGAAACAACAGGAGAAGAAGGAAAAGTCCATCTCCGACATGCAAAAGATCAACACGTTGGACCAGTCGCAGAAACTGGCGGCACAGAGACGCCAAGAAGCCATCACGTGGCAATTCCTGCACTTGGACCTGATGCGCCATACCGTGTCTCTGGGTAACGCCAACGTGTGGCACGCCATTCGAGAAGAAGGCACAACCAAAATGATCAAAGAGTGGAGCACGGCGGAACGGAAGAGCATCTGCTACGTGCTGAGCACACGAGGGGCTCCGTTGGTGGTGGACAGCGCGAGCCAGTGGAGCTGGTACTTGCTCGTGTCCAAGGCGCACGTTTACAAGTCGGCCATGCGGGCCCAGCGATACGTGTACGACCGCGTACTGGCCAAATGCAAGGAGCTGATTGTCAAGGAGTCGTCGGCATTGTCCAGACCCAATGAGATCCAATTCGTCGACCCGTACCAGGCGGCAGCGTTGCACGGAGCCAAGGCCAAGCAGATGGCGTTTTTGCTGCTCCGACGCACGCAAATGTACCGCACCGTGTCGTACTTGCTGCAGCACGAACGCGACGAAGTGGACAACTATTTGCGATCTGGTATGAGACGTCGAAACATTTTGATCCACAACATTCTTTCCCTTGTTGACTAGGCGATCCGGGGCTGACAGACCACATGCCCGTGTGGTGGTGTCCGTGGATCCATGACGTGGCGCTGTTAGAAGGCATGCTCATACACGGCGTGGGGTCGTATTTGGAGCTGCATCGGCACGACGCGCTGGACGTGGAGGCGGTGGCGGCCTTTGTCCGGCGGGTGTTTGTCCAAGGCGACGGCCCCCAGCACCCCCCCGTGATCGACCCCGTCAAGTTCCACTCGGCCGCCGAACAAGCCGCGTGGGTGCGTGACACGAGCGTGCAGTTCCCGCCCGTGGACATGCTCGAGAAGAAAGTGATGCGGGTGTGTCTGTCGCTGACGGAGGAGCTGCCGACATCCCACGAAGCCAAGTTCAGCATGGAGAACGATGTGGCCACGGCCGTGCTGCCCATGACCATGATGGATGTGGTCGTGAAGGAACAACGCACGGAACGTGCGACTGCCAACAACCATCATAGTAGTGCACAGCCTCAAGTGGAAGACTTGACGGTGTTCTTGGCCCAGACCAAAGCGTCAAGGGATGTATTATGTGAACAGCAACAAATTGCGACGCATTGATAGCTGTTGAGGATATTACTAGTGTGTGAATTAACTATAATACAAATATGTACTGGACTGGATGTCGACGTCGGAATGAAAATCGCTTCGGCACTCGAATACTTACATACTGTGCCATTACGCCTCCCGTCCAAGTTGTATCAGCGATACTGTAATGTTACTCGGAGAATTTTGTACTACACTAGTACGACCTCCGATTGGAAATGATTGATAGGTTTACCGGTTACGTACAATTAATATTATATTATAAATGTATTTACATATTTGCTGTACCACATATCTCCACGTAAACCTCTATAACCAGATACGCAGATACGTTCAGGAGAAATCGGATATAGGTGTATAGAAATTATACGGAAGCACAGTGAAAATTGAGCATCATTCTTGATTGATTTTTACCATAACTTCTAAGATACTGTAATTAGGACTCTCAAAGCATTAAAATCGGATTTCTAGTGAAATTCTCTACGTGGAAGTATATCTATTGTCAAGGCAATAACCTATTTTGACTGAGATACAATTGTTCAAAGCCCAAAAGTGAAACCTATCAATCATTTCCAATCGGAGGTAGTATGATTCAGCGTACAGTAAATTTGATGGCATTATTATCACAGAATATTTATTAGGGTGAGTCTGGATGTCAAGAAAAAGGCCAAAATCTTCGATCTTTTGTCAATTTCTAAGAAATCGGCAAAAAATATGAAATTTTCTGTCTGGATCCAAAACTTCTGTTTGGTCCAGATAGTCAAAACTATTAATAGATGACAACCAAACACTTCGAATTACTTTGAACCAAATTTTTGAAATATTAAGTGGGCGAAACTTGGGACGTGATCCAGACCCACCCTTAGCCACCCCATAAAATTATACCATAAGACTTAAACTGTTTTAGCAAGTCTGCAAAAATTTCCCAAAGTCTCATAACTTGCTGTATCCCATGAAGAAAAGGAGAAAAGAAGTTCTGTATCTACAAAATTGTCTGGATGCCGGTTGAATTAACAGTAAGGAAAAATTATTCGATTTCCGATTGCCAGTGCAAGATTTACTGTCAACGTATACATAAAACACCCGATTCTGAAGAAAATTATGGCATATTGTTTTGACGTTTGGAGGCATCCAGACGCACAAAATCTCGAAAATGGAATATATCGATTTTGGCAACTTTTCTTCAAATAACAGCCATTTTATGCCATTTTTTGTGGTATCTCGACCCGGCCTACTAGTAAGCTTAGTGCAGTACAGGAAAGTCATTCATTCGCTGTGGAATGAGATGGCATTTGTCTTGCAATTGGTGGGTTTGGCACAATATTTTCATTGGTTGTCATTTTTGTCAATTTATTCCCAAAAAACCGAACTTCTCGACCCCCTTCCAGATAATTATCCGGAAATGCTTTGTTGGAGGCTTTGGTGTGGAATCATTTTGGATACATCGTCGAAAGTCCGACAGTCGATTCCCATGGTGACCAGCATTGTGAAGGTTCATCAGTTTAGCATGGCCGTGAGCGGCCTGCTCTGTACGATCGCCGCTGTGTGGAGCTTCGTGAACGACTCGTATGGGGGCTCCTTCCAAGGCAGCGTGGCGCGGATCTCGTTGCGCGTGTTTCAGATTGCCCTTTCCCTTGTGCTGCTTGCCACGACGGGCTTGGGCTTGAAGCGGCCGCTCAAATGGTTTGGGCTGTTGGAAAGTTATGTTGGAAGTGGCTTGTACGCGATCTTCCTTGGGTTTTTTACGTTGAGCCTCGGCAACAACTTTGGCCTGTACTCCACTGTCACCATCCTCGCGGTGGGCTTTCTCAGTGTATGCTACGGCCTGGTCGTCAAGGACGAGAGCCACGACTATCCCCCTCTCTTGGCTTAAACCTCCAAACTGTGGTGACGCAATGCGCGAAATTAACTTGTAATAGCACATCCCCCCCTTGAACTACCTGGTATTGTACACATTGCTGCATTCCTTTATCCTTTGGCTACCTCAGGCATGCGGACACTTTAAATCCAGCTCTGGCGTCACCGCTTGGTAAGATCCATGTCATTCGAATGACCAAAGGTCCACGCTTGTATAGTGGACATGTTTGCAAGGTCCAACGAGGCAACACCACTGGAATTCAAGCTTGGTCGCATGTACAGTACATGATGGCTCTCATTCACCTGATAGAGTCCCGCTTTCTTATGCTTATACGTAGAAACTTAGCGCATCGTCCATCGCGATTGCCGTCGTTTGGTCGGTAGATATGGATATACTTCATTCCACCGTTGTCCCTCAACTTCAAGCCACAGTTTGGGGGGCAGCCAATGGCGTACGTCGTTGAACCGTTATCCGGATTGTGTAACCGGATGTTTAACGGGCGATCCGAACACCTTCGCTTCAACTTGGTGTCATTTTGAAATCTTCTCTGGGGCACGATGGGACGAGCTGTTGTGAAGATGCACCAAGTGGGCATGGCCGTCAGCGGCTTGCTGTGCACGATCGCGGCCGTGTGGGCCTTTGTGAACGATACGTATGGCGGCTTTTTCCAACACACGGTGGCCCGGATCTCGTTGCGCGTGTTCCAGATTGCGCTGTCGTTGGTGTTGCTGACGACGACGGGATTGGGGTATAAGCAGCCGCTCAAGTGGTTTGGTTTGCTTGACAGCTACGTCGGCAGCGGGTTGTTTGCGATCTTTCTCGGGTTTTTCACGCTGAGCCTGAGCAACGACTATGGTCTGTACTCGACGATCTTTATCATGGTGGTGGGAATTCTCAGCATCATCTACGGCATGTTCATCCGAGACGAGCGCCACGACTACCCGCCTCTCTTGGCTTAAGCTGTAGCATTGTGTTGATATATAGCGTAACGAGACAAATATTCATAGCCTTGATTACATTTAAAAGTTGGTGTCGCCTCTAAAACTCTTGCATCCACTTGGCGTCGCCAGTGTACGGCACCCCCAAATCCAACGCTTGCGACGTGGGCGCCGCCACCAATCGGTCAAACTTGGCACTCGCTTCTGCCAGCAGTGGCGCCTGCACACACTCAGTGACATCAGAAACCCAACCAAACTGGCATCACTTACGTTGGTGTCATTGAGTTGATCCCACTGGAGGCCCTGGAAGAACGCATGCTGTGGCACGACGCACTCGTCGGCCGATTTCTTGAAACAATCGGCGGCACCGAGGCGGGACGCGGGCTTTGGGTCCAAGAGGCCCTTGATCAACGCCTGTAGCGCGGGCGACGACGTGGGTGGAAACTCGAGCGAATCCTTGATAGAACGTATGACATTTCAAAGTGGTGGTAAATGATCATCATACCGGAGAGAACGACACGATGCCGTTGAACATGGCGAGTTCGTCGTGGTGGAGGTGTTGAAACGGGGTCGTGCCCACGAGCATCTCGTACAGCAAAATGCCCAAACTCCAGTAATCCGTCGCCAATGTTTGGCCTACTCGATGTTGCCCACCACACTCAGTTCCCTCGACATATGTATCAATCACACTCGACGCACCTTGGCCGTTGATTTGTTCAGGCGCGAGGTACTCTGGGTTGCCGCAAATGGTAAATGTCCGACTCGCGCCAATGTACTTGGACAAACTACTCAACCCATCGTTAGTCGTGGTCTCACGGTGTCACATACTTTAACCCAAACACGGCCACGTCGCCTTGTCGGGTGACCATCAGGTGCGTCGGGTCCAGCGACCGCGTCAAAATTCCCTCCTATAAAACCGCACCCAACCATGAATGACCGTCCACTCTACCACGTCTGGTCTTATTACCCCATGCAGCAACTGCACGGCCACAACCAACTGGGCGGCATAGTATTGAATCGCGGCTTCAGACGACAGCGGAAACGCCACAAGCTCCTCGAGCACCCCCACGTACGCCACGTCAAAGAGCGCGTGGAGGTCGTGGGCTGTCTGTGCGACACCGTACAGCGGCGCCACGCCCGCCTGGTCTCGACCTAGCGCCACGTACATGTCTTGCTCGCCTAGCAGCTGGTGCTTGAGATGTGACTGCACCACCGTCTGCTTGGATATGGAGCGTAGCGTGAGCCAGCGGCCGCCGAACTGGACGAGGCGGCACGTGGCCACGAGGTCCTGCCAGATGGTCGGGCCGACACGGACTTGGTCGATCTGCGACAACGACGCCAGCGCCTGCGACACCGTGTGGGCCAACACCACCACGCCGTTCAACTGTCACACAACCATGGGGTCAAACACTCGGAATAAATCAAGTGAGGTGGTGGTACTGTACCGGTGCGGCTTGCTTGGCCCGACTCGTGGCGCTCTTGCGTGCCCGTCGCGCGTTGTTCTTCTCGACGACGGCCGACAGATTTCCCACCGTCGCTTCGAATGCATCGCGGGATATGCACAGGCATTCCGTGTCTTCTGCCGCCACCGCCCGGTACGGACTATCGAGACAAGTGAGATAAACAGATCCAAATAGTGGTGCTATGATGATGGTGGTTGGTACTGTACCACGTGCGGCTGGGGGTGTCTGATAGGATAAAGTCGCCAAAGCTGTCGTGGGCATGGATGGTGGTCGGGTCGGCCGGGAGGGGGGGCGCAATCGTCACGCTGCCCTGCACGACCAAGTAAAACTGACCAGAAGCCACTGATGCCCCCGCCTCAAACACGATCGTCCCCTGCAAAACAGACCGATAAAGTGTCAATTACAGAATAAGGTGTGAATTCGCTCTAAACTTGCAACAGTATTCCGGTGTATCTAATCCATATTGATTCAAGCTGGAGTTCTGATTGGTTGAATATGCAAGAGCCAATCAAATATCCACTCAAAAATGGATTAGCCAATAATAGCGTCGATTTCTGGAAATTCGTGTCGAACTCCACAAGTACAAATGTTAACCATCAACCGAAACTACCCCATAATTCATCATTTCAAGGTGGCAGAGTACTTACGGCTTCCAATGTGACTTCCTTCATTTGTTCAGCGAGGAGATTCAGCTGTGCCACCGTGAGCGGTCGCAGCAGCGGCAGGTTCCGAAGGCGTTGGACCACGTTACGCAGCGGCCGACGCACCAGAATCGACCGAAACGCCGACCGATCGATGGTCCAGAGCGTCCCGCCGCCGGCAGTGGCCAGCACGGTCGCGGCGCGGGGCTTCGAGTACATGAGAGCCAGTTCGCCAAACGTCGGGTGCGACCCCTCGGACGCCACGTACGTGTGCACAACCGGACCGTACGCGGCGTCGAGCGAGTCGTCCGTTGTCGGCGCCGCTTCCGGCTCGACGGGGGCTGCCCGGACGCGGACGTCGAACCGGCCAGCGTCCACGAGGAAGAACTGGTCGCCGTCGTCATGCTGATGGATCACGACTTCGCCATCGGCCACCACTTGGCGTTGCATCACCGACAGCACGTCGTGCAACTAGCCAACCATTTCATGAGGGTACGTACGTACGTACAGTAGGTAGGTAGATGATAGATTTCAGGTGAAGACTGCATGTATGTGTTGTATTGAAACATGACAGCCGGTACCTTGTCGGCGGTCAAGTGGGAAAACAAAAAGTTGTGCTGCACCATCCTCTCGAGTCGCGCGAAGTCGGCGGCGGATTTGGGTACAGTGTGCTGCTTCACGTCATAGTCGGACGGAGGGGACAAGAGCAGACTGGCGGTGTCTCCTTGGGGGCATGACGACGACAGCAGACTGTCTTCGCTGGCCATAGACATGCGGGCCGTCGTGTCGTAGCCGCCGATGATCGTGTCGCGCGACCGCCAGCTCTTGTTGATGTCGACGCCGATGCCTCGGACGGGTCGGAGGCTGTCTTGCATGGCGACGAGGACGTCGTGGCCGGCGATGATGCTGTTGCGGCCGTGCAGTTTGGATGCCTTGACGGGGGGCTGCTTGGATGCCGCCGCCGCCGCGATACTGGGCTCCACATGCAGCACGATGCACGTAATGTCGTCTGTACGAACCTACCACACCCATTTAGCTCCACAAGGCCGCCGTTCGTTCTTGTACTTACTTCAAATTGCAGCCATCGGTTGTACGACTCTTCCACGACCGCCAGACACGCGTCCAGTGGGTCCTTGTACACTTTGACAATATTGACCACCGCCTGGCTCGTGAGAAACTCAAACACGCCGTCCGATGCAATTACAATAAACTTGTCGTGGGCGTTGAGTGTCTTGGTGATGACCTCTGGTTCGGCAAACACACCTAGTTCTTCCGACACGTGGTCCCCCAAGCTCCTTGTGAACGCCGTGCCCTACATGAGCTCACGTCAGAAGAAGAAGAAAGGGCGTGGCTGGCGTCGTACTGGGTAGTCGCCGTGCGGATGCCAGATGCGCGGCGGGTCGCCCGACTCGTCAATCTCGTCGCCGAGTGTGAGCCCCCAGTTCTCGTGGATGGGCTCATACCCCTCGAGTTGGTCGACAGTCATGATGCGGGCGCCAGTCTTTTTCACACGGTCGCGTTCGTCCTACCCATATATATGTGATACAGCAAGCAAATTGCTGGGAAACGATATATATATATATATATACAACATACCTTACGAAATGGCGTTTGGTCGATGGACAAGGCCTTGGCCACGAGTTGCGGGGACGCGGCGCCGTCGGTGATTTCTTGCGCGACGATCGCGCGGGAATCGCCGACGTTGGAAATGTGGATCTCGTTCGTTTGAAACAAGACGGAAATGGCCGTCGTGCCGCTCATCGAGTCGTCGAATGGCGCTGAATGCATCTACCCAACGAAACCAACACATGACCATCACGTAAGAAATCCATGGCCAATACTGTATCACACTAGACCAAACAACAACCCCAGCAAGTATTTTGATGTGGGGAAATGCATGTCATGCTTCACGAGAGACAGGGAAATGGTCCAGTGTCGCAGCTAAACGAACGACAAGGATGGTGGTGTACCATGGTGTTGGCGTCGACGTGGGCGCGGATCAATGCTTGCGTCGTGTTGACGTTCTTCGCGAGATGTTGCTGCAACAAGGCGGGAACGACGTCGCGAGCGTACTGCGCGCACAATTCGCCGGTGGTGCCGTGGCCATCAAACACGCCAAAGAACGAGTCCTGGTTGTGGAACATGGGTTGGCACACGAACGCGTCTTGGTTGGGCTTGTGGAGCGCTAGATCGCGCCATTGTGAGCTTATGTGTGCAGGAAGGATGTGGGTGTGGTCACGTACAGTCGGGGTAGAAGCCGCGCTGCGACACGTACGCATATGAGATGGTATAGTCACCGCTTTTGAATGACGCGGTCTTTTCTGGCGCGGACTTGCGTTGATTCAAGTCCTGCTCGCTCAGGGGACCTGGTATACTCCGACGTTGGAATGTCGACGTGTATATGGCCGGCGGCTGCTCGGGAAGCGTGGGGGTCGGTGGTGAGTTTTGCTGGCTGCTTGGCTTGTCGGGCGAAAGGACGACCGATGCTGGTGAGTTGCATGTCGCCGACACGGCAGTGGGGTAGGATGCTGTGCTTGGTGGGGGCGGCGGCGGTGGGGGTGGCATCTCGGAATGCCGAGTGACCACGGCCGTATTAGAGCAGCAATTCCCCATGGAGTCGTGGAGAGATTGCGCTACTGGCGCTTGCTCCGACGATGCTCTGCACAAGCAATGCCAAGGAGGGATGTGTAACGCTTCGGTGGTTTTTTATTTGGCTGGCTAATTATATGAAAAAGACAGTCCATCTGTTTTAAATGCATTTAAAATCTCCTCGGAACCAAGATCAAGCTTGTCGAAATGGTCGCGTTTCAAGCGTTTTTTAATGCGAAATTATGATCAGCAATCAAATTTGGGTTTAACGTTATTCAGTTAACATGCCAGCAATGGAGCAGGAGGTGAAGAGATTAACTGTGTCAAGCTGCAGAACAGTACAGCTCACGCGATTTCGGAAGGACTTACGACATGGAAGGCATCCAGTAGCTGCAAGTTGAAATCGCGACGAACCAATGCAGTGCAGTATTTTGCCCACCGCTCCACTGCATCCGCTGTCCACTCACCTGGTTGCTTCCCTGGACAGAGGAAGGGGTACTGTATTGTGACGAAATATGGTAACGTGTAACGTCGAGGTAACTGGATACAAGTATACAGTACGATACTGTATGTACTGTCGCACTGTAGTACTGTACTGTATGTACTACAGTAGCACCATTGTGGTGTCGCTTGGTCAGGATGGTCTCGACCAATCAAAATCGACAACCTCCTTCCAGTCCACCAGTAGTTACCATGGAATCGGACGCACTAATCGGCCAAGACCGCCGCCGCCTTCTGTACGCGTGGCGCAATGTACGAGCCGAAGCCCATGCCATCTGGGGCATGGCGTGGAAGATCTCTCTCGCGTCGTTCTGTCGTTTGTCCGTGTTCACGATCTCCACGGCGTTCTTGGGCCAGTTGGGCACGAGAGAGTTGGCCGCGAGCGCCTTGGCTCAGTCCGTCATCGGCGCGCTTCGCATCGTCACATGGGCGTCGTCCACATCTCTCAGCACAGTACGCCATTTTTCCCATTGTTCGATCTTCTCAGCCATCCATCTTAGCTCTGTGGCCAAGCCTATGGCGCGCGGAACTTTGAGCTCGTGGGGACGTGGCTGCAAATGGGCCTCGTCGTCTTGAGCGTGGCCTCAATTCCGCTGGTGGCTGCCCACTTTTACGCGTATCTGGTGCTGCAGTACGTCGTGCCAGACGACCCCGAGTTGCTCGCGTTGGCGCAAACATTTGCTAATTACACGGCGCTGAGTGTGTGGCCGAACGCGATCTATGTGGCTCTGCGGTGCGACTTGACGAAGTCTCCCTTGTCGTCACTGGGATGATTGTACTGGTAGATCATACCTCCGTTCGCAGCAGGTGGTGGCACCCATCGCAGTCGTCGACGCTGCCAACGTCGGGCTGTACATCGCGGCCAACTACGTGTTTATCTACGGATGCTTTGGCTGGGATGGCTTGGGGTTCGTGGGGTCGCCGGTGGCGAGCTTCGTTTGCGCGACAATACAGCCCCTCGCGTTGTATTTGTATGCGTTTGTTATCCAGCGGCACCACGAGAGTACGTTTTTTGCTAGTACGTTCTGTTATTACGAGGTTTTAAATAAGTGAGTAGAAACGTGGGGCGGATGGTCATGGCAATGTGTGGACCCGACGCGGTTGAAGCAATTTGTGTCGCTTACGAGCTCGTTCTTTGTGTACTTGGCCATGGACGAGTGGATCTACAACGTGCTCACCATCGTCGCAGGTGTGTGCATGCCAATGCAAAGGAACAGATTTAATATGGCGGCGTAGCCCAATTGGGGAGTTTGAACTTGGCTGCTAACAGCATCCTATTCAACGTGTGGGGGCTCGCGTATGGCGTGTACCTTGGCTTTAGCACCCCCATCCAAGTCAGGGTTTCGCACGCGTTGGGGGCGAACGACCCCTTGAAAGCCAAACAAGTGACCGTTGTCGGGTTTGCCTTGGGCTCCCTGGCGACGCTGCTGGTGGTCATCGTCCTCCTTGCGGGGCGCCGGTGGCTTGTGGGGGTGTTTACGCAGGATCCAGCCCTGCAGGACATCTTGGGGGCCGTCTTGCCAATCTTTTGCATGGCCGCGAGCATCTCGGGGCTGCATGTGATGCTGTCGTCCGTGCTAGAAGCCATGTCGCTGGCCATGACGCTAGTCGTGGTCTCTGGTGTCGGGTCATGGGCGATCTTGCTGCCTGTGTCGTATTACTTTGGCATTTCCCAAGCGCTTGGGTTGGCCGGCCTGTGGTGGGGCAGTGTCGTGGGGGAAGGCGCCAAGTTCGTCCTCACTACCATCGCACTCTTTGGATTGTACGACTGGACGACCATTGCCCAACGCATATCTGCTGAAGCCCAGGGAGATGTCGTCGTCGTTGACGAGGAAGTCGAAGCGTTAACGTCTGCCGACACGATGAAGAGTCCCGTGGCGACAGCTACAAACTCGTCGTTTTAGGATTTTATCTACCGGTAGTACTTCGAAGTAATTACCAACACCATATTCGACCACGACATTTTTGTAACAGTTGAGGTTTTTATTAGCAATTACCTCTTTGTCCTCAGGTACAGTACATGTGCACCCCAATGCCATCGTTGCTGTACGGTAGTTATGTAGGTAGCTACGGTGTCGCTCACTGTAAGTTGGCTTCAATAATGACTGTACTACCGTAAGTTCTGATAATAACGTTAAGGGTTATTAGTCCAGGGTGAAATGGAGGTGGCTTTGGGCAATTGGATTGACAGTGAAGAAAAGTTGTGTGGTGATGGGAATGGCAAGGTAGAATCGATTGAATGAAAAACGAATAGTACCAATAACTTCTCATAACACCCGCCTCCGCTCACACTGTCTTGGAATAGCAACAGTGGACGTTCATCAACAGCCACGACCCGGACTTGCGTCCACAGCACGTGCGCCGACATCCCGAGTCAACGAAGGGGGTCACTTCCGATCCTCAAAGTTATTGGTATCGTCTACTTTGGAAAACAAAGTAAAGATGACTGCACTATAGAAATGATCCTGTTCAAGTACGGTCTTGATTAATTCTTGAATTCAGGACTTTTTTAGCTACAAACCCAACTCCCAGTGGTGAAGTGACGCATTTCTAGCCAATCATATTGCGTCATTCGTGGAAGTACCCAATCAGAAACCAGTTGCCATGGCTTCGACGACGACGAGGGTACACATCGCAACGAAATCTTGTACGCGCCGACCATGGAGTCTGATCCACTCTTGGACACAAAGAGATCGATGTACACGTTGAAGGCGGTGGCGGAAGAAGCTGCGTCCATATATGCCATATGCTGGAAGATTTCTCTTGCGACCTTTTGTCAACTGAGTGTCTTGACCATCTCGACGGCATTCTTGGGGCACCTGGGGACTCGGGAATTGGCGGCGAGTGCGATGGTCATGTCCGTGGTGGGTGGATTTCGAATCATACCGTGGGCCTTCTCTATCTCCATTAGTACCGTACGTATGCCCTTCGTTGAGGAACGTCGGACTTGTGTATGTGACTCTTGGCTGTGTATTGTAGCTTGGGGGCCATGCCTATGGAGCCAAAAACTACGAGCTAGTGGGTGTATGGCTGCAAATCGGGCTCATCATGCTCGTGCCTGTGTCTGCGCTACTGATGGCCGTGTGCTTGAACATTCGGCCGTGCCTTGAACTGATGACGGACGATCTGGAGCTGTTGGCGATGGGCGAAACCTATGCCTGGTATGTGTCGTGGAGCGTGTGGCCAAGTGCCATCTACGAAGCGCTTCGGTACGGAAAACATCCCTCTAGATCACCAGCATTCTCGAAACTGATCCATCAATTGGCCAGAGGCTATTACAAGGCCCAGGAGATCATGACCCCTACCACCGTGGTGGACGTCACGACCCTGTTCATATCGATTGGAGTCAACTACGTGTTCATCTATGGCTGCTTGGGCTGGCCAGGGTTTGGTTTCATAGGGTCCCCCCTTGCCCTCGTGTTCATTGCTGTCATTCAGTCGGTGTCGTTGTGGTCGTTTGCCCACTTGTTACAAGAACGTCACACCAGTGTGTGCGTCTATCGAGGGACGATCCGTTACCCACCGAGTCCTGAACGCTCGTTATGTGTAGAAACGTGGTTTGGCTGGAAGGCCAAGAATTGCTTGAACGCGGCCCGCTTGCGCCAATACTTGACCCTCACAGGCACGTTTTTGGTGTATTTGGCCTTGGATGAATGGGTGTACAACGTGTTGGCGATCATGGCTGGTAAAAAAATTCTACTACTACTGAACCATGCGACCACCACAATGTATGTAGCTCGCATTGGCAGTTTGAATGTGGCCGCGTACAACATCCTGTTCACGATCTGGACGTTGGCGTACGGCGTGTACATTGGATTCAGCACTCCGATTCAAGTGCGAGTCTCACATGCTCTCGGGGCTAACGATCCTGCAAAGGCCAAGCAATCTGCTGTTGTTGGGTGTGCGATGGGTTCATTCGCTGCGGGCTTCCTCAGCGTGGCCATGTACGTCGGTCGAGATGAGATGTTGGCCTTATACACGGCCGACGTGGATCTGCAGGACGTGATTCGTCCTGTCTTGGGGCTGTTTTGCCTCGCCGCGTGTCTCTCTGGAGTGCACATCACTTTGTCGGCCATGCTAGAAGCCATGTCGTTGGCCGGTACCCTCGTCCTCGCTTCGTCCGTTGGCTCGTGGCTCGTGCTCCTCCCCGTGGCGTACGAACTTGCGTTTGCGACCAGCTGGGGGTTTGGGGGGCTGTACATTGGCAGTGTCATTGGCGAAAGCGTGAAATTGGTCATCATGGCCGTGGCCTTAGTGTGGGTGTTCGACTGGCACGTCGTGGCCGAGCAAGTGTCCAAACAAGTGACCAGCGACAACGAAGAATTTGACGTGTAGAAAGATCAACAACTGTGACGATGGCTGTAGTACTTTATTGTACATTGACACTACGAGCCCACTTCGAATGGCTTTAGGAGTGTCAAAAGTAAAGAAATTCCGTTCCTGGTTACTATCTCCACATTAAGCGATAAATATATCATGACGGTGAAGCCGACGAGCTACAGGCCGTACGCGTGGCAGTCCCCTCGGTCGTACTCGCACGCAGCATTGAAGCACGCGAGGTCGCACAGTCGGTCGCCGACAGCCCAAAGCACGCACCCCGTCGCACACGTGGCAGGCTCACAGCCCGCCATGACGCTTGTAGTCGAGTTGCAATACGTGGTCTCGCCCATGGCAACCATTTTGGATGTCAATCGAGCCATGTCAAAGCCTGACGGGAGCGCCGCAATTGGATTGCATGACAAGTCCAACACAATGTCAGGTCGAAGGGTCGCAGGCACTTGCGTAAGGAAGTTTCCACCAACGTCGAGGCGGTTGAATTGAGACATGCCGTTCAGTTGGGTCTGCCACGTCGTGGCGAGGTCGGTCAGGCGATTGTTGGTCACGTACAGCGTTTGCAAGCTCGAGAGCTTCGTGATGGCGTCCGGAATGGTCGTGAGCGACGTGTTGAAGAAGAATACGTTGGTCAGCGGTTGCCAAATGTCGTCCAAATTGGACGGTAACGTCGACAGTGGAGTGGATTCCACCAACAAGTTTGTCAGTAACGGGGGCAACTTGGTTTGCAAAATGGCCGGCATGGCATCAAAGTCGCATTGACGCAGCTGCAACGACATGATGGTCGCCGGCAACGTGCCTTCCCATGCCCGCATTTTCGTGAATTGGAAGATCATCGCCCCCAGTGACTGCTGGTGCGCCAGTGTGGCGCTCGGGATGCCGCGCCGAACGTCACAACGGCTCACTTGGAGCACAAACAGCGTCGACCCGACGTCCTGAGGGTCGAGTTGCGTGTCCACGTCCAAGCTTTCGTTGTGCAATGAGTGGCAGTTGATGTGAAGGTACTTGCAGTGACAAGTCATGTCCACCAACGGCGTCGTAGCAGCCTGGCAGGTGGGCGGGCACGGTTGCCGGAAAAACAGTGCTTGGATGCACAGACCCCACAAGGTCACGCCCCATGTGACACTGCACGAGACGTACACGACGACGAGGGGCGACCGCCGGACGTGGGGCACCCTGGTGGCGTTTTTCGCAAGAGTAGTCTCTCGTCCAGTGGAGTGTTTAGACCATAACGCTGACCTGGCCACAGTCTTTCGCGGCGGCGACGGCGCGGTATCTTCACGGCGGGACATCGCCCCCGTGAGCCGCCGCAGCGACACGAGCGTGTTGACGTCCATGACGAACTTGACGACATAGTCCGTGGGCGACGAGGCCACGATGATGCGCGATAGCAAAAGCACGCGGGTGTACCAGAGGTAATCGCTCGACAGCGTCCAGTCCACGAGCAAGAATTCTAGCACGGGGGGGAGGATGCCTACGATGGGCAGCACGCAGGAGAGGCAAAACCCTATCACGCTGTTGAACCAGCTCAAGAACACGCGCTTCTTGGCGGACGAGTGGCGCCGACCGAGCAGGAACCACGGGGACACGACGCAGTTGAGCACGACACACGACACGTACGCAAACACAAACCACTTGTCGATGGCGTATCGAGTCACTTGAAACGCCTTGTAGTTTTGGCATACCAACTCGACGGTGAGCAATCCCAACATGATGGCATCGTCCGACACACGAGGGCATCGCGTTAGGATGGACAACCAAGGCGACGCCTGGGACGTAGTGGTTGGACGGTATTCGGGGATTATAGACGACATGCGCCGGAACAACATGGACGAGCTGCTGCCACTGGAAGAGGACGACCGTCGACACGACGCAGCGACAAAGCCAAAATGCAACAGCGCCAGCAGCCCATACGTGCAACCCGTGACCAGTGGCGCGTACGCATTGATCGCTGCCACGGACGACGGACTGAGTTTAAAAAACACAAACGATAGCATGGTAAAGTACCACGCGCACACAACATGCTTGACGCACGCGAACGCGTGGACCCCTCGTTGGACGCACGTGGATGAGCTCTGGCCGAAGAGAGGGCGAGGTTTCCCCGGCAGCACCGCAATCGACTTCATGTTCACGTCGGTAGGACGGACTAGTACGGTAGTGGCTAGGTAAGACGAAACGGGGTGCTATTGTTGAGTGTCTAAAATTAGAGTTTTAGCTCGTACTCGGAGCTTGTCATCGGCAGGTATACATCCATGCTGGTATGGTATGGAGCTAATGTTGAGTGCCTAAAATTAGAGTTTTAGCTCGTACTCGGAGCTTGTCATCAGTCCGGCGGGTATCCTTGCTGGTACAGTACAGTGTGGTATGGAGTTGTTAACGTCGCCGTGCTTGAACCGCTAGATTAACAGTGCGCAACAAACACCCTTGTATACATACAAGTGATCTAACAAGTTACACTCCAACACAGTATCTTTAGCTGCAGTACACTTACTAGCTCCAAGCGATTTGCACACGCTGCGGCTTAAGCTTACCTCCGTGTGATTTCGTCGTAAACCACAAGATAACGTGGCCGACCATTGATGGGCCGACTTTGTTGAGGTTGTTTTGTGCTGTTTGTGACATATGTAAAGGACAAAGTGATCCAAGAGCAAACTCGTTCGTGCCCGTTTATACAACAGTCGGTCGCGCAGCCACGTGGAAACAAGGCAGAACTCCGGATACGTATCCGGATGAGTTCTCGGTGCTGATTGGTCAATCTGACCAGTCCTCCAGTTCGAAAGGGAGCGATATTTTAATCATGTTGAAGTTTGCATGCCATTTTTCAAATTATTTCACCATGAATCATGTCCCGAACGGCGTGCGTCGCGAGAAGGTGGAGGTGGTGTTCTCGACAAAGACCAAGGTGGCGACAGCGCCGACGTCTCTGCGCAAGGAGGATGTACCATCGTCGTATGAGCTGCATACAAGCACAGGTAGCGTAAATAGTCGCCAAGACTCGAGCGAGCAACTGCACCAAGCGTCGGGTGAACCGAATTACATCCAAATGTCTCGTGAGGGCAGCAGCGAAGTGGAGACGACGACAGATCAAGCCAAATCTGCGCCAAGCAGTGCAGACAATCCGATTCGTAAACGAGGCCGACGGTCGTCCCGAAAAGGATCGTCGGCATCGTCGTCCGAGGCGAAGGCGGCATGCAGTGTGAGCGCGAGTGTGCGACGTCTTCGCCCGTCCAAAGCATTGCTGCAACTCGAATCAGCAACAGTCGCCGACTGCGTGAAAGCGATGGTGGATAGTCGCACTGAAGCGACGTTAGTGACCGACTCGAATGGCTCGTTAACTGGAATTCTCACAGACAAGGTTACTTTTCTCCCTCCCCTTCCTCTCGTGGTTTTCATGTGGATCAACGTAGGACGTTGCATTACGCGTGGTGGCGCGGGGATTGGACCCAATATCCACGATTGCGCTGGATGTGATGACCCCGAACCCGTCATGCGTGTCCCCTCGTGCGTGCGCGATCGAAGCACTGGAGCAAATGGTATCTGGCCAGTTTCGGCACTTGCCCGTGGCGGACAATGGCAGCGGTATATTCTCCACCGCGATATGCGTGTATGAAGGCTAGCGTTGTTGTAGTCGTGGGTATCTTGGACATTGCCAAGTGTCTGTACGACGCTATTTCGAAAATCGAAAACGCCTACATGGCGTCATCGACCCAATTCTCCAAGTCCATGCAAACGGTACACACCCCAACAAATGTTGTAGCCATGTAATACGTGTGGTTTCCCCCCCCTCACTCTACCGCAGCTGGACGCGACGATTGGCGACAAGGAAGCGTCGTTGTTTGAGAAGATGCGGGAAACGGTACGTTATGACCACTCAACTTTTTGCGACCGACTGGGTTGTCTTCGTAGCTGTTTCTACCCACGCTAAGCTCGCTCATCGACGGCCGCGCCGACGTGCCGGAGATTGTGGACACGGCAACCGCCAGAGAAGCGTCGTTGCTGATGCTGTACACGAATTCGAGCGCCGTGATGGTGTACGGGGAGGCGGGGGTCATGGAGGGCATCTGCACGACCAAGGACCTCATGCGGCGGGTGCTCGCGGCGGGCCTGGACCCGGAAACGTGCGTCGTCCGGGACATCATGACGGCCAAACCCGAGTATGCGCACCTGAACACGACCATCCTGGACGCGTTGCACTCGATGCACGACGGAAAGTTTCTCCACCTGCCCATCTTGAATGACGACGGCGTCGTCGTGGGGCTCGCGGATGTCCTGCAAGTCACGTGCGGTGTGGTGCATCACATGGGCAGCTTCCAGCAGCAGCACACGGCGCACGTGAATCCAGTGTGGAACCAGTTTTGGAACTCCATTTTCAATCCAACCCCCCCCATCGCTACCACCCCATCGCCACCACCACCACCATCCTCGTCGTCCCAGCCAGCACCCCCCATCCCCACATATAATTGTAAGTACATCTACCGATTCTTCTTGATGATCCATCTAACGCCCCTTGGCCCCTAGATGCGGTGGCCTCGTCACTCCCGACCAGCACCACGCCCTCGTCGCTTACATCGGCGGCTCGAGATGTGCAGACGGGAGATACGACGACGACGGAGCCTCGGCCGATCTCGTTTGCATATAAATTGACCGACCTGGCCCACCACACCCATCGGTTTACGGCCACCGCGACCAATTTAAGCGACCTACTGCAGCAAGTGCGGGAGCGCACGGGGCTCGTCCATGAAGACGTGAATTTGTACTACGTCGACGACGAGCACGACACGGTGCTGCTGTTTGCCGACCAGGATTTGAAGGACGCGGTGGCGTTGGCGATAGACCAAGCCGCCGCGTACGTCCGGCTCAAGGTCCAGCCGGCGGCCACCGTCGCCCGGACGGAAGGTGACGATCACGAGGTGCCGCTGGAGGACCTGCCGAACCTCGAGCCGCCGCCTGTCGAGCGAACGTCGTTGTCCGAGTCGACGATGCTGAAAATCCGACAAGGCGGGCTCATGACGGCGCTGACGATGACTGTCGTGGGCGCGGCCATGATATTTTCCAAGCGCAAGTAGTAGTAATAGTAGTAATAGTAGTAGTAGGATGCGATGAAGCAGATGGAGTGGAGAAGGAAACGACACGTTTGAACGGCAGTTTAACGTTATTATGAGCGTCGCTGGCGGACTTTGAGCAGCATGTCGACACACAATTGCCGAATGTCGTTGGTCACTTGAACGGCCTGCGACGTCTCGGAATGGTTGGCTGTCGACGGGGTTCGTTTCTGCTGTGGGACCTTCTTGGCTCCGTTTGTCGACAGTGGCTTCTTCTTGGGAGTTGTAGTACTAGTAGTACTAGTAGTAGGTTGATCAGCTTTGGCCTTAGTAGTAGTAGCAGCAGCAGTAGGTTGGTCTGGTTTGGGCTTTGATAGTTGCTGAGAGCTGCTGGGGACCTTTCTCGCCACTGGCCACGAGGTAGGAGCAGTTGCCAACGCGTCTTTGAACGCTTGATGGGCTGATGGATTCGAAGACACTGGGGCGTTCTTGGTCAACGGCCTTGAAGCTGGCTGTGTGGGAGATTCCAACTGGCTGACCGGAGCTTTAGCAGGTTCGGACGGTTCTTGGATGGTGGGGACAGGGTACTACATATACATCCATACTTCCATGAGCAATGATGTAATAATATACGTAAACCTGGTCATGTGCTATGCTTACCCGCGATCGATCGACGACGTAGACGTACGTGATGCACTGGGCGGGCTCAAACGTCTTGGCCGTGGGGTCCGTGGTCCGGTGGTGATACCCTGGGAAGATGTCAATGCGGAATGGACGGCGTTCCTTCATGACAAAGCCGCTCGCCTTTGCTTGGTCTTCGACGTTCCAGTTGGAATACGGAGGTTTGGTCTTGAGTGTGATGTGCACTTCGCCCTTGAACGCGAGCTTTGGCCGTGCGCTTTCGAAAAAGTCCAGCAGCAGCACGCGGTTGATGTGCACGCGCTGTTGGCCGCTGTGGGGGAAGTTGAAGATGATGTAGTCGAATAATGCCGGGATTGACGACGGCAACGCCGCGTCCAGCTTGGTGCCGTCGATGCCGTGCAACACTTGCGCGTTGGCTGTCGTCAAAGCCGCGATACATTCGTTGGCGTTGGAATATTTCTACTCGCAGCAGACGTTCCATGAGGATGATGAGGCGGCGACGTTGAAGGCACGCAGTACAAACCTTCCGAACTTGAGACGACGAGTCGAACGACGTGGCGTACATGTTGGCGCCGCCACCTCGATGTGTAGCCAAGCCGCGCGAAAACGTAAAGTCTCCATCTCCCAGCACAAGGATCTTGTCTTGAAGGGTGTACAACTGAGTCTGGGGAAGGTTTTGCTGTTTTCTTGGATGGTGCTGCTGCTTGTGCTTCTTGGCCATCCGCAGGTTATCGCTCCCATGGCCACCGCCGCCTTTTCGCTTGCCCATCGAGTTCAAAGCGCAGTGCTCGCTTTTGGTTGGCTATGCTGAATGACCTTGTGTTTTGTATTGCATACAGAAACCAAGATATAAATTGGAAATCCCACGTTGATTTGTCCACACACACCACTTCCATGTATTGTGGGGACGAAGTCGGCGCGTTCATCGGGGACGTGGGGTCTCTCACGGCCAAGTTCGGGTATGCGGGGGAAGACACGCCCAACTTGGTCTTCCCTTCATGCATGGGGGTGCGCCCGGCGACCAACGAGCGCATCGTTGGGCACAGTGCGTTGTCCAGCTGCCACGACATCACGGCCTTGCCGCGGGCCATCAGCACCATGGAAGACAAGATCAACTACAACTGGGACGTCATGGAGAAACTTTGGTTGCATGCGTTCGAAGAATCTCACGTAGATCCCACGCAACACGCCGTTTTGACGTCCCTCTCGCCCTTCGACATGCATGAAAGTGTGTCGTACATGGAGCTCATGTTTGAAAAGTTCAACGTCCCTGCGTTCTACGTGGCCAAGGACGCCGTGTTGAACGCGTTCTCGTTTGGCAAATCGACTGCGCTTGTCTGCGACGTGGGCGCCAGTTCCACGCGTGTCGTCCCAGTCGTGGAAGGGTTCAACTTGAAGGGGTCGTCGTTTCGCTCGACGGTGGGTGGTGAAGCATTGACAGCGCAGCTGCTCTCCGTCCTGCAGGAGAAGCACCACATTGAAATCCATCCCGGCGTCCGCAAGTACCCTGCGGCTGGCGACGGCAGCGGTCCTGCTCTGCTGCGTCCGCTGGCATCGGTGTCGAACGAATACCGCAACTTTCGCATCTTGGAGATCGTGCGCGACATCAAGGAATCGCTTTGTCAGATGCCAGAAACAACTCTTCAGGAAGACCTGGTCGAAAGCGTCGCTCCCGAGCACTACGAACTCCCCGATGGCCAGGTCGTCACGCTCGGCAGCGAGCGGTTCCGCATTCCCGAGAAGCTCTTCCACCCCGACGTCATCGCCGCGGACTCCACGACGGTCGACAGCGCGTCCAAGGGTCTTCATCGCATGGTGTACAACGCTGTGCAAGGCAGCGACGTGGATGTGCGCAAGGACTTGCTAAACAATATGGTGCTGTGCGGTGGCGGCAGCAGCCTATCTGGCCTCACGGAGCGGCTGCATTGGGAAGTGTCGAAGTTGGTACCGTCGGCCACGTATAAAGTGCGGCTGACCCAAGTGTCTTCGATCGAAAAGAAGTTCAGCGCGTGGATCGGCGGAAGCATTCTCGCCTCACTCGGGTCGTTCCAGCAGTTGTGGGTCTCCAAGCGCGAGTATGACGAGTACGGCGCCGACGCCATGGCCACTTCCCGCTTCTTGTGACCGTCGTTCCATTGCATCAATGCGTGGCATCTTTAAATTATTCAAAATCCAAGAGCCGGGACATTTTAAATGCATTATGATTCCAAAGGCACGTTGTGGTTCTACGTAATCAGTTATAAAAAACAAAGGTAAATTATTAAAATACCACTTCATAATCATGTCATGGGAATAAAAATGCATTTAAAATGTTGTGGGTTTCGGATATCCCGAAGGGATTATCCGGATAAAACTGCTCCAACCAAAGCACAATCAAACAATGGAAACGCTGTCGCGCAGGAAAGGGCGGCCAGCGGCGCCAATCCAGGTCTTGACGGACGACAGATTGACGCTATCTTTTAAAGTGCCTTCGTCCATCAAGCTCCCACAATCTACCTCCATCCTTCGCGTGGTGGTTCCTCCCGTCGAAGCGCTTGATGAGAGTGGAGAAGGTCGCGTTGATGACGACGACGAGGACGACTGGGAATGCAAAACTGACTTTAAGATCGACTTGAACGGTCCACTGTTGCGCGACGACGATTGCAACAGCGACTGGGAAGGAGAAGACGAAGTGGAGTCGTTTCCAGATGACTTTCCCATCTTGCTGGTCAACTTGTCCAAACTCAGCGTCGAACACATGGGCGTGGAGTTGACCACGAACGAGGATGCGTCTCGCATCTCGGACACCATGCAGGACATCTTTGCGTCGCCCAAGTTCTCTTACGTCCTGGAAGTGCTCCTCGAACAAGAAACGGCGTATCATGCCACGTATGGCGGGTACAAGGCCCGCCTGGCCCAACTGACCAAAGTCGGCAGCGACGTGTGGGCCGCGATCGATTACCCCGCTCTGGTTGACGATGACATTCCTTTGAGCGATATTTTGTCCGTGCTGCGTCGCCCGACCAAGTGGAGGAGCGTCAACTACATCAAGGATTGCATGGCGCAGACGTCTCGCGACATCAAATGGAAGGCGCAGGTGATTGCAGAGCTGGAAAAGCTCGCCGAGACCGAGGACGCGGCGCGAAACGCCCGCCAGGAAGCGCTTCGTGTGGACATTGAACAGGTAGTATCGTGTGACGTTATCACGTGGTATGTCACGATGACGTAGCTTGCTGCGGCCAGGGACGCGTACGATCGCAAACTGGACAGTTTGGACGGACTCCACGACACCAAGTCGGTCATGGCGCGACGATTTGCGACCAGTCGATTGGAGGAAACCAATGCGTCGCTGTCTCGGCTGGTAGACGCGTATGTGGCCACAAGCGCGCCGTCGACTTCGTCTGCATCGGAGAGGCGGAGCGACGTCGAAGTGCCGTCGGGCCAAGCGATGCAAGAGATGAATGTGGTCGACATGGTGGTGTCCATGATCTTCAGCCGCCTGCCTCGACACCCGTCCACGTCCATGGAGTCCCACTACAAGTCGCTGATGGATTCCCATGCTCACATTCGCATGCTGTGGGTCGACGACTTTGGCCGGCTGCCGCCCAAGTCGCGCCCCGTAGTGGACGATGACGATTCTTCTCAAGGTCATGAAGAAGTAGCTGTGGCTTCGTTTCCACCAGTGACGTCCTCGGATACCTTAGCAGAGAAGGTCGAACCACCCAGACCAGGTACAAGTTTGGTCGTCCGTTGCACTAGTTAACGTTGTCGTCGCATATGCTTTAGATTCCAAGAGCGAAAACATGGATGTCAAAGTGTCAAGTGCGGACAGCGAAGACCCTGCCGTGATTTCAAGGACCAGTCAAAGGCGGTCGAAACAAGTACCCAAGAAACCCTCGTCCAGAAGCACGAAATCATCTTCAACCAAGTCTACGTTTCGTCCGATGGCATGTGTGGGCGCGCTGTCGTTGTTGCAAGCGTCAAATGACGACGACTCGCACTACTTGTTTGAATAAAGTGTACGCAACAGTGTGGCTGGGGTCATGCTTGCTTTTTGGTCTTGCGGTGGATAAACCCGTGGGTTTCCAGCACTTGGCGGGCGCAGTTGGCGATATGTTTGAATCGATCAGGTCCCAAGAGGATGCCGCCGTACCATCGGCTCACGACCACCGCCTACAGCCCAAAGTCGATCATGTATATACATTACAGAGACGAATGAATACCCACCACGTTTTCAGCCTGGGTCATTTCCAGCAAATGCGACAGTTTACTGCCCGCGCCACCTTCGCCGTCGTCGTCGCTGTCCTTGATCACGACGTCGTTCACAATTCGATACGCCTGAAAGTACCAAGTAACTTACTACTTGTTATTGTCATATATTTTTGGAGTATCGGGGTGCTCACAATCAAATGACCAGAATCACACCATATCGGCAGAGAATCGATATACGACCAATCAACATCCAGATCACAAGTCAAGTAGCCAATCACATTATCCACTCACATTCGACCAATTCAACATCGAATTAGTGTGTGACTTAAATTAGTGTGACACTGGACGAATAGTATATACAAAAGCCAGGACAAAGAAGCGAATGATAGATTTGGCAAAGAATCAAAAGTCAACCAAATTTTGGGGAAAAGCACAAGAGTATGGCAGAATGAATGGGAAAGATAGCCATACCAGCATGTTGTGCGTCGCGCGAGCGATCTTTCTGTCTTGGAGCAGATATGCGATGAAGGCACGGACCTAGAAGTCCACACACATGTGACATCGGTGGAGACAACAAGGACCAATCACTTCTTCGACGCTTGACACGGCTACAGCATTGGCCTATCATGACCAAGTGAGGATTGGTTGACAGGGGTGGCGAACTTGGAAGGTGCTTTTGCGGTCGGTGATGGGAACGCCCGTCTTGATCTGACGCAAGAACAGCGGAATGTCGTCACGTGGAGAAGGAGCCGCAGAAAGAAGCAGCTCCGTGGCGTCCATGTCGACGACTTCCAGGGACGAAGCCTCGAACGAAGCAAACGACCCGAACTGTTCACGCACGCTTTCGATCCACTCGTACAGACACACGTCGCCCTGGGACTTGTTAAAGATCGTTGCCTAGGAAGAGGGCATCTACTAAGACCAGAGATGATGAGGCGGGTTAAAGAAGAACAAACCAAGTTGTGGATGATGGCGTCGCAGTCGGACGACGACACGCCAAACGACTCGTACACTTCGGCAATGGGGCATGATCGGGAAGGATAATCCGATGGAAGGTGGATCAGCAACCGAAGACAAAAGTCCCCAGGGATGGACATGTAGAACGATTTGCACGGCGCTGCGTACACCTCGTGGTCGGCCCACTCAAAGTCGTGTTCGTAGATCGCCTTTGAAGCCGTGGTAGGATGATGCTCCTGCATGAAGATGGTAATATGAAGGTACCTGCAGAGCTTCTACTTCATCCTTCTGCATGTTGCCACTGCCGTCAGAGAATTCGACCAGACGTAGGTCTGTCATGTCGTACCTGGCTGTCGAGGTTTGCGCGGAGTTCACTGTCGGTGGCGGCACCTGGCATGATTACTCGAAATGCACAAATATCCGGATAATTTGAATTATACGGATAACATGCATTTCGCCACTCATTTTGAGTGAGCTCCATGTCCACCAAGGAAGCGGCAGATGCAGCGTTGACTAAGCCACCACATGTGTCTGAACGCTTGAAACGTAAACGCGAGAAGGCGAAGGCCATGAAGGATGGCGAGTGGACTCAGTGTATGTTCAAACTGGAGCGAAAGAACCGCTTCTGCAACGTGGCGAGGTGCGCGACGAGGTTTCGACCTACCATGTGACTCAACGGTGAATCGCTTCTAGAGTGGAAGGGTCTCTGTATTGCGGCAACCACGTCGTCGACGACGAGGGCGTGGTAAGCCAAAAGACGAAGAAGTACAAGCAGGAGTTGTGCAAACGCGTGCCTTGCACGTTGGACCCCACACACACGGTGTACCTGTTTGACCTAAAAAAGCACCTCGTGGTACGAATGTCCCTAAGCTTACTGGTCTACAAATATTCCCATCAAGTCCAACCCCACGTCGGCTAGATATGCAACAAGCTCAAGGAAGCAGAGGTCATGCGTAGCCTTCCGTTCTACACGGCCAACATCAACTCGGGCACCCACGCCGCCACAGGCACCAGTGATCCATCCACCACTGTCCAAGACGACACCAGCGCCACCGAAGAACACTCCGGACCGTCCTCCGACAAGCAAGCGAGTCTGTTCCAAACCCTCGTGCGTCTTCACCTTTCGTTTGCATTGTCATTACATGGCTGCTAGGTGGGGCTAGACTTCAACGCCTTTGCGGCCAAAATCGACGCCGCGTTTGACAAGCATGTTCCTGTGATTCCAACTCAAACACTGGACCATGCTGCGTGCAACACATTGCTCCAGCAAAAGCAGGCGGCAGGGGCCAACCACAGCATCCTCCGACACATCCAGCAGCAAGCGTCCATCCTGGGCCACATGGAGTCCAAGAGGCTCCTTCGATCAGACTGCGTATACGTGGAACTGGGTGCCGGACGCGCGATGCTGTCCCTCGCGCTGACGCAGATGTACCCGTCGTCGCCGTTTGTGCTCATCGATCGCGCCGGCTCCCGTGGCAAGGTACGTCGTCCTTTGTGTAGCGTCGCTAGTGTACCCTAATGTGCATATGCTTGACATGTCTGGATGATGAATGGGTCTGCACGGACTGGAGTAGCCGTGGTGAGCTACCGGTATGGGATGCAAACACCCACTACTACTACATCATTGCATTGGCATAAGAATTCTGTCATCTTATACCATTAGGCGGACCAGTATATTGCCCTAGACAACAAGTGTACTCGCGCCAAGATTGACATTCGGCATCTCAACTTGGCCAAGATGGACCAGGTGGCCCATCAGCCGCTTGTGTGCCTGTCCAAGCACCTCTGCGGCGTCGCCACTGACTTGTCACTGCGGGCGCTGGCCAACACCCTCCCTGCCGGCCCTTCCGACGATGCCACTGAAGCGCCGACAGGCCATCCCCAGAAGATGAGCTCCCACCTCGTCGGGCTTGCGATCGGTACGACATGCATCATGTTGATACATGTCCATGGTAACATGTACGACAGCTCTGTGTTGCCACCACGCGTGCAGCTGGGAAGACTACGTGAATCCTGCCTTCTTTGTCGACATGGTGAGTCGAATGCTTTCGTCTTCTTGCGATCTTGTGGTTGGATGATGGTTCGTTGGTGAAACTGTGATGCTAGGGCTTCACAGCGGCCGAGTTTAAGCTCATGGTGCCGTTGTCTGGGTGGGCGACATGTGGTATGACCATGGACGGGGGTGCCGTGGAAACGGTGTTGGGATTCAAGTGAGTTGAGCGGTTGTGATGATCAAATGACTGACACACACGTGTAGCCGCGCAGACAGGACGCGAATGGGCCGCCAATGCAAGCGACTGCTCGACATGGGGCGCGTGCACTACTTGCGCGAGAGAGGCGTTCAAGCACAACTGGTGCATTACTGCGACCAAGACGAGAGTTTGGAGAATTGCTTGCTGCTGGCATGGCGAAGTCACCACGACGACGTCGAATGAAACATCAACAACATGTATTAATCGTTGTCGATGGAGATTAAGTTGGAGAGTGAAGGAGGAGTGGGTAGCTTGGCACTGGCAATAGGATGTGCCGAGACGCTGCTACGCTTTGGAACGCACCACACGACCACCTCAAAGGATGCCATGGGTCGCGGAGCAAAGCACGTCTTCGAGCGCGACAGTAACATGTTGTAGCCTCGCGCGTTGCGACGCACTTCGTATGTGAACTTGATGTGGGGGAGTACGTGTTCTGTACGAGCGCTCACATCGGCCTTCTTTGTCGGGGGTTGATCCAACGCGAGGACTTGGGCCAGCAGTGCCGGCCACTCGTCAGGGCCTTGCAACAGATCCACAATCTGCTCCAAGTACGTTGGGTCTGGCGCTGTGACATTGAACCATTCCAAGTCGGCCTCTGAAGATATGAAGATGGTCACCGGCACGACCTGCCCGACGGGGTCGCTCCCGTTGAAGCTGCAATGGAGCACATTCTTGGTGCGGTACATGATCTGTTGTGCTGGTGGGAATATCCCATTTGAATAGCGAGATGCCATTGGACAAAAGATATTAGTACATTGCACGTGATTGGCCAATACGGCCGAAATTTTGTGGCAAACATTCAAATCCCTGTGCCCTCCATTTATTCGTCGTGATGGCAGGTTTGGGAACCACCGCCGCCGCCACCGCGACGACGACAGGTGCGCTTCAGGACGACCTACTTCTTGTGAATGTGGGCAGCCTTCGCGGCCACGATCTCGACAAACAAGTTGGTCTCGCACTGCTGCCACAGATCGAATTCTCGGACGAAGTGGCGGGCCTCGTGGACGCGTCGAAAGCACTCCTCTTGGCGCCTTTGCAGTTCTTGGACGGCGAAGCTCCCGTTACGGCCCAACGCACCCAGCTCGCCAAAGGAAGCATTCAAGTGCGCCAAGACGGATCGGCCACCCACACGCCGCTCGCTGTGAACCCAACCATCCAGCAGCAAATCACGCAAATGTCGGACGACCTGCACTTGTCCGAGGCATCGTGCTTAAAGTATTGGATTCTCGCGAGTCAACCTGAGAACCGAACACTAGTAACCCAGCGCAACCACCTGGCCAAGGATTTGATTCAGGACAACGTTCCAGCTGCCGCGCGGGAGTTTGTGCTGCAAGAGACGTCGGCGGCGTTGTCGGCGCTTCGCCAGCTGTGCCGTGCACGGATCGACGCTTCGCTCCCTGCTGACAAGAAGGACTTTATCGTCTCATGTACAGTATCACATTTTCTCCTTCCACTTCCACTTATCGCATTGTAGTCACGAACGATTTGGTTCGCCAGGATGTGGTGGCCAACTTGATCACCCTCTTGACAACATCCATCCCCACGTTGGTCCAACGCCCACGTGTGCATGTGTTCGCGCTGCAGTGGCAGAAAACGATTGCCGAGATCCTCTTTTTGCTTGGCACGTCCACCCATCTCATCCAGACCGAGGTCAAGGCGCTGCTGACGTTGGCCAAATCGTTTGCCGTTCGACTCGACGCGTTGCGAGCCACTGTTGCGTCGACACTGCAAAGCGCGATGGGACTCGGCTCGTTTGTTGACTCGTTGCCCTTGGATGCGCCCGAGATGACGTCGTTACTGCACACGTTGAACTTTATTCAAGCCACGGCGGCGTCCGTGCTTGTCGTCCAGGTATACTCTTGGTCTTGTGTTGGTCTAGTTCAGATCCCAACTCGTATATCCACCCAACCTAGGACACCCGGCGTTACAACCGCAACACGGGCGAGTTCACAGCTAGTGCGCCGGTGTGGTGGACGTCGGCGGTCGTGCAAGAGCTCAATCCACTGGTGCTCCAAGACAAATGGCTGCCGACGTCTTCCAAACTCGGCAAAGTTCAAAGTGTTATTGGGCTGTACTACGCCCTAGCATTGGCCAAGTCCCCAACCCACGAACGGGTCGACAGCTTTCTCGCCGACTGTGTGGCCGCCAACTGCTTTTCATTCGCCACTCGAGCCATGTACCCGTTTGCCCCTGTGTCCGACCCGCTCTTGAGCACGCCATACTTTTCAACGTTTCAAGAGGTGTTTACCAGCTACGCCACGCATTTCTTTACGGGCCAACCTGCCGCCACTGCCGACGCGGCTTCTACGTCGCGGGAACCTGCTCTCGGCGCTGCCGCCACTCGCCCCGGTGATGACATCAAAGACATCTTGGACTGGGCCACGTACCTGTGCGAGCACTGCCCGACGCTGGCAGCGCAGTGCTGGTCCACTCCGGCCACGTTCGTGTCCAAGCTCTCGCCCGAAGTTGTCGCCAAAGGGCAAGTCGCGTACATGCATTTTCTGGCCGTGTCTGGCAAGGGCAACCCTTCCGCCGCGTACAAGCACATCAAGGACAGCCCGCCGCCGATCTCGTGGAAGCGGTTCTTCTCGGCCATCGAAAGCTACCGCCGGCTGTTGATGCCGGACCATCCGCACACGATGTTTCCCACGAAAGCTGTCGCGTCGTCGTCCACTCCGCACAAGTTCTCCACAGCTGAAGTGGATGCGCTCGAAGCCATGTTCCATATCTTCCAGACCATGGTACAAGACGACAGCATCGCGCCGTTCTTCCTCGACTGGCCAGACGTGAACGTCCTGCTTCTCTTCCTCGGGTTTGTGCGGTGCCCGATCCCGTCCGTGCTCAAGGGAGCCGTCATGGACACGCTGTCGTCATTTGTGACGTCGTCGCCGATGGGCCAATTGATGTGGCAGCACTTGGAGTCGGCGCAAATTCTGCTCACCACGTCATCGTCGTCGACACACGCGAACCAAGGCATCTTGTTCGAGTTGGAGCAGATTGAGAGCATGCAGCGCACATACCCTGCGACGTTGGGGTTTCTCAAGTTGGTGGACAAGTTGTTCCGGTTCGACTTTCCAGACGACTGCGGCGCCAACTACCGCGTGCCTGGCGCGCAACCGTACTTGGACTTTGCGCTGCATGTGTTTTTGAAAGCCGACACGCGCGAGTACGACGTGGAGCTGGACAAGTGGCAAATTTTGGAGCAATGTCTGCATCTGTTTGACCACGTGCTTGCGTCGTACACGCCGACGGCATCCGACTTTACCGACGACTACGTGGTACTGAATCCGCACTTGGGGTCGTTTGGCAAGAACGACAAGTACTTTCACAAACCAAAGTCGCTCGGGTTTATGTTGCTCAGCAAGTTGTTGACGGATAGCCCCGTGTTGCGCAAACTGGTGCAACTGCTCACGACAGAGTTGTCTGTCACCCACTTGGAACGCACCAACGACGTGGCCCAAGTCAAGTACACGACCGATCTATGCATGCAGCTGGTGCAGGAGTCCTCGACCCTCAACTCGACGCCGCTGATTCGCGTCCAGGAGAACCTCGTGACCCTCGCGCTGAGCGTCCTCCATCGCGTGTTTGAGCTCGAAGGCGCGTTTGTGAGCAGTGTGCGCGCCAGTGCGCTGGAAAGCACCGTTGTGGAGCCGCTGCACCGCCTCCTCGTTCGAACCCCCCAACACGTGATCACGCTGGCCAAGTACATCCGATACACGCCGCAACCCAGCATTGCGCTCCAGTCGGCCAAACTTCTGCACCACCTAAGCACCCACTTGCCGCCGACGCACTTGGTGCAGTTGCTGCACGACCACGGAGATGACCGCGAGATCCGCGACGGGTACGTGTCTGTGATCATGGACGAGTCGGCTGCTTGGTCCGAGGCCAAACGCGTGGTGCTGGACATGTTGCTGGACAACGTCCGCAAACCAGTGCCGAACCTGTCGACGTTGCTGCTGCTGTCCTCGTCTGCTACTGGGGACGAATCCAACAACGTGCTGGACGCGTTGCTGCTGGTGCTCGACAACTTGAACTTTGTCCACGCCCAGCCCGTGTTGAGCGAACGCGCGCACGAGTTGGTGTACCGCGTGCTGTCGACGCCGACACTCCAAAAGATTCGAGGCGCGGGGCTGCAGCACCTGGAAGGCTTCCTCACCCGTCAGATCCAAACGCTTCCGACGCTGTGGTCCATCCAGCGCCACGTCACGGCACACCGGGACGTGCTGGCCTTGATTCACATCCGGCGGTGGCTCGTACAGGACGTGGCGCTGGTGGTGTTTCAATCAAAACAGGCGGCGCCGCTGTTTGCGTCGTCGGCTCCCGTCTCTGTGCTGTTGGCGCTGCTCGACACCACGTCGTTTGTCCATGCGCCCCCGCCGATGCCCCAGGATGACGCCGGCTTGAAGTTGGCGGACCAGTGCACGGTAGAGCAAGACCAACGGCTGTACATCGACGTGGTGAAATTCCAATCACTGCTTCTCGAGCACCAGTCTACCGATCAGTCGGCGCCGTTGGTTCAGTGGGCGTTGAGCTGGAATCGGTTCTCCGAACGCATTGCCGTGGAAGCGCAGGCGCTCGAGGCGTGGACGGCGCTGGCCCAAGTCCTCACCGTGGACCACCACGTCAGTGTCAAGGAATTGTACCAAGTGTGGCAAACCCTGCTCAACAAGGCGCAGACGAAGGACGCCGTGGGCCACTTGGTCGAGTTGGTGGCCAAAGTCAGCGTCACACTGAGCTTTCAGATCCGCGCCGACCGCGTCCACCAGTCCTCGTCTGGGCTGTCGTCGTACCAGCGTCTAGAACTCCTTCAAGACACGGAACGGGTCGTGATGCAGACGACGTTGCAATCGAATCCGTCGGCGGGCCGCCGCGCGCGCAGCTGGCTGTACACGTCGCTGTTGCACTTGATGCGATATGGTCAAGAAGAATCCAAGGTGGACACTGGAAGAACCACCGCCACGCATCCTGGCACCCGCGACGCGTTGAGCCACCTCGTGCTGGGGGCCCAAGAGCCGACGTTGTTTGACGAGTACGTGTGGAAGGACGTGTTCTTGTCGACACTGTGTCGAGACGCCAGCGAAGCCGCGTCGGAACCGCTGAGCATGGGGCTGGCCATGAACGTGCTAGGGCTGATTCTGAGCTGCTCGTCCAGCGGGCGCGTGAGCATTCTGCGGCTGCTCCCAATGCCCCACCTGTGCAATGTGCACTTGCAGTTGCGCGAGTCAAACCAGGACGAACTGGCAGACACAGTGGTGTCGTTCTTTGTGCAAGTGGCGCAGTCCAAAGAAGGCGCGCTGACATTGCTCCATGGCGGCGTCGTGCGCACGCTCATGCAGTGCACGACGTTTCCCGTCCAGCGCCCGCAGTGGATCCAGGAGTCGGACACGTGGCGCGCTGCCGAACACGCGTACTTCCAAAAGTGGCTGCCTGTGCTGCGCCTGCTCGGGGCGCTCTGCACGGCCCTGCCTCGCAACGCAGAATGCATCCAAGTAGTGTTGATCTTCCTCCACAAGCACATCAAACTCGTCAACGGCGCGTTAAACGTGGAGGTACATTCGCCGTCGCTCCAGCGCCTCGTCGAGATGTCGCAGGTGCTGCTGCTGCTGCGCACAGCGGCAGGCCACCCCAAGCTACTGGAGTCGCTCGTCGGTGCCCCCAAGGTCGTCAAGCTGACGCAAAAAGTCGTGCACGTGGCTTCATATTACGGACGAACTCTGGGAAGTTTCACAGGAGGGTGGTGGGCCGCGATCGTGCCCCGTACCTTGTCCGAGCAGGAACAGGCCGACGTCGCCGGCTCCGTCGCGTGTTTGCCGTCCGCAAGCCTCTTTGACGAGTGCAAGTGGGACGCAGTGCGCTTCGTCCTGTCACAGGCCACCGCGTACTGCCGCATCCGCATGCTCAGCTGGGACTCTCCATTGAAGACCACCAAGAGCGAGTACGTGGCGATTGCAGTGCTGGACGCTGACCAGGACTGGCTGGCGGCGCTGGTCACGTTTGTCGATCTGTACCGAAAAGACGTGGACAAGGACACGCTGGTGTTTCTCATTGAAAACACCACCACCGTTCTGGCCCACCACGCCCTCCACGGTCGCCATCATGCCACGGCCGCCGCGATTCTCACCACGCTTGGCTCGGATTTTGAGGTAGGGTTTGTGTGTTCTTTTTACGATATCATTCTGCCCATATGGTTCTTAAATAACTGCCGTAGAACCGCGGTCTGCTTCATCTGTTGAGCCGCAAACTGCGGGATCTGGTTAGCTCGACGCCGGCGCAACCATAATACTAGCTAATCCTTGTTACTTTCGAAATACATGTCCAAAAGACACACATTCCATCGTCGTTTGGTATTTGATTGCTTGAAAAATGGTAGTAACTGTATCATAACCACAGTACAGTACATTGCAACGAGACGATGCCACCCGAACGCCTTGATTGTACGGTGGCAACCGTGGAGGTTGTTTATAGCACAGATAAATAGATCGCTGGACGACTTTTCTAACCACCCATGGTCGACTTAGTGGTGAAAGTACCCTCCCTCCACCACACACCCTCGACGAATCTTGGAACGGTTACAAAAGCTAAGAATAGGTTAAGCTCACAAAAGTTGAAACCGCCCAAGATATCTCGTGGGTTTCGAATCACTTGCAATTGCGATGGAGGTCGTGGTAGCTGACCTCGTGCAGTTGGTGGAAACCCCCAAAGAGTCTGCCGCGGATGCGCTCGCAGCTCTCGGAGGCATCGAAGGAGTCGCTGAAAGGCTCCATGTGCGATTGGAATCTGGTCTCAGTGATACCACCGACCAAGGCAAAGACATCGCGGAGCGTGAGGCTCGCTTTGGGAAGAACTACATTGAGCCAGAGAAACCGTCGTCCATCTTAGAACTGATGTGGGAAGCGTGGCAGGTACCTTCGTTCCATTCCTCGACACTGCTTAATGAAACCTTAGGACTTGACGATTATGATTTTGACGGGGTCTGGGACGGCGTCGTTGATACTCGGGCTCACGATTGGCCACGACACGAGCGTGGATTGGATCGAAGGCGCGTCGATTTTATTCGCCGTGCTGATCGTGGTGTTTGTGACGGCCATCAACGACTACGAGAAGGAAAAGCAGTTCCAAGCGCTGAATGCGGTCAAGGAAGACGAGAAGATCAAAGTCATTCGCAACGGCGTGCCGGCAGAAGTGAGCAAGTTCAATTTGGTCGTGGGGGATGTCGTCCGTGTGGACCTCGGCGACATCATCCCTGCGGACGGCTTGGTGTTTGACGAAAACGACTTGAAGCTGGACGAAAGCGCCATGACGGGCGAGTCTTTGCTGCTCAAGAAGGACCGCCAAACGGCGCCGTTCCTATTATCGGGTACCAAAGTCATGGAAGGCGTGGGCAAGATGCTCGTCATTTGCGTGGGGGAAAACTCGCAGTCTGGCATCATCTCCAAGTTGATTCAAAACGCCTCGAGCAAACATGCCAAGAACGAGGCAAAGGCAGCCGACACTCCTCATCATGACGACACGGTGGTCGACCCTAACTACATTGCCCTCGCCACTCCTCGTGGGCCGTCGAAGGACGCAACGGAAGTCGAGGAGGAAGAGGTCGTGTCGCCCCTTCAAGGGAAACTGGATCGCTTGACAGTCCTCATTGGCAAGTTGGGTCTTGCCATGGCCATCATTGTGTTTGTCGCCATGTCCGTGCGCTATTCCGTCAACACGTTCGCGATTGAAAAGCAGGCGTGGAGCAAGAGTTGCGCCGAAGAGTACTTGAACTTCCTCATTGTGGCCATCACAGTCCTCGTCGTGGCCATTCCAGAAGGCCTGCCGTTGGCCGTGACGATCGCACTGGCGTTTTCCGTCAAGAAGATGCTCAAGGACAACAACTTGGTGCGCCACTTGGACGCGTGCGAGACCATGGGAAGTGCCACCACCATCTGCTCCGACAAGACCGGCACCCTCACCACCAACCGCATGACGGTCATGGAGTGCTACCTCGGCAAGGTGGAATTCAACTCTGCTTCAGCCCTTCAAGTTCAAGCCAGCGCCGTTACCAAGGACATTCTCTGCAGCTCCATCAGCATCAACTCGACGGCCGAGATTCTGCCGCCCAAGCAAGTGGGGGCGCAACCCGAACACACGGGCAACAAGACCGAGTGTGCGTTGCTCCAATTTGCCGCCGACTTGGGCGCCGAATACGCGGCCCTCCGCAAGGCGTCTCCCATCTGCCACATGCTCACGTTCAGCAGTGCCAAGAAGCGCATGTCCGTGGTCGTGCCTCTGACGGCATCAAAGTGCCGCATCTTCACCAAGGGCGCCAGTGAAATCGTTTTGGAGTTGTGCACGTCGCAGCTCAACTTGGACGGGACCACGTCCGCGTTTGGTGTTGCGGAGCGCAACGCTGTCAACAATGACATCATCGAAAAGTATGCGTCGCAAGCCTACCGCACGTTGTGTCTGGCGTACCGTGACGTGGATGTGACCCCAGAAGTGGTCAAGAACTGGTCGGACGAGGAGATTGAGACGGACCTGACATGCATTTGCATCGTCGGGATCGAAGACCCGGTGCGCGAAGAAGTGCCGGAATCCATTCGCCAGTGTAACGAAGCGGGCATTGTCGTGCGCATGGTGACTGGCGACAACATCGTGACGGCCAAGTCCATTGCGCTCAAGTGCGGAATCATCAGTCCCAACGACGGGTCGCTGGTGATGGAGGGGTCCGTGTTCCGCGCTCGCGTGTTGGACGCGAACGGCAACATCAAGCAGGACGAGTTTGACAAGATCTGGCCCATGCTTCGCGTTTTGGCTCGGTCAAGTCCTAAAGACAAGCACACGCTGGTGTCTGGCTTGATTCAGTCCAATGTAGTACCTCATGGCCCCCAAGTGGTGGCCGTGACAGGCGATGGGACGAACGACGCCCCGGCTTTGAAGAAGGCGGACGTCGGGTTTGCGATGGGGATCTGCGGCACGGCGGTGGCCAAGGACGCGTCGGACATCATTCTCATGGACGACAACTTCCGGTCGATCGTGAGTGCGGTCAAGTGGGGCCGCAACGTGTACGACTCGATCGCCAAGTTCCTCCAGTTTCAGCTGACGGTGAATGTTGTGGCGATTACCACCGCCGTTGTGGGAGCAATTGTCTTGAACGAATCCCCCCTCACGGCCATTCAGTTGCTGTGGGTCAACTTGATCATGGACACGTTTGCGTCGTTGGCACTGGCCACGGAGCCGCCCACCGACGCTTTGCTGAATCGCAAGCCTTACCCGCGCACCAAAGCCCTCTTGTCCAAGAAAATGCTTAAGCACATCTTGGGGCAGAGTGTGTTTCAGCTGGTTTTGATCTTGCTGCTCGTGTTCCGAGGGGAAAAGTTCTTTGGCATTGACTCAGGGCGTCGAGAGAACCAAGTGCTCGCATCGGGTGAGCGCAACCCGCCGTCGCAGCACTACACGATCGTGTTCAACACGTTTGTGTTCCTCCAGCTGTTCAACGAACTCAATGCCCGCAAAATCCACGACGAGGTCAACATCTTCACCAATCTCTGGGGCAACACGTTGTTCCTTAGCATTTCGGTCTTCCAAGTTGGCGCTCAAGCGCTCATCTGTCAGCTGGGTGGACGTGCGTTTGGGTGCACGATGCTGACGACAGAACAGTTTTTCATTTGCATCGGCCTTGGATCACTCTCGTTGCCCGTGGGGCTCGTCCTCCGCTTGGTGGCATACAAGCCCTTCAACTCGGCCTTCAAAGGCAAGGCAAACGAGAACCACGAAACGTCGACGCGGGGAAAGGAGCTGTGGATGCGGGGGCTGCGCCGCCTTCGCGCCCAAGTTCGAGTGATCAAAGCCTTCCAACGAGGGATGGGGCAAGAGATTCGTCGTCCATTGGAGCAACAAGCCTCGCCTTCGTAGAAAGGTTGTGAATTGTAGGGAGTAGTACTAGTACATTGTAAATAATGCCTTTTGTATCCTTCATATACTGAATCACAACGCGAGTTCATAGACATGATAGGCATTTAATTTGGATGTGTACGAGTGATTGCACATCGATCCATGAGACATCAACACTCTAAAGACGGGAAACACAGCCCCATAATTTGTACAACACCTTGGTATGCCGTACAAGGAGTACCCCATGGCAAGGCTCCTACATCCATATGTCCAAATTGCATATGTACTTTGAAGTACTTCTGTGGTTGCACTGCCGGTAGTGTCAGGATCGTTTCATTAGACGGGGATATATCGTAGAAAATGATGCCCATGTCATGCTAACGAGACACACGTTTGAGCTTCCATGCACAACTTAACTGCTCGCTGCAGGGATTCACGACGAATTCTACTTTCGCATGAAACACAAATTTCAGCAACATCTGGCATTTGCATGTGACATTTGGATACACAATCATTCACAATGTCAGTACGACTCCAAGAGGCTTCAATGTTGTCAACTTGAAGTTGCGATTTGCACAGAAGACGAAGATCTAATATCCACCGAAGGTATCCTCCTCGATGTCGTGTCTTACAGGGCAAAGTCAAAATCATATCTTCTGTTCTTTCGAGCCTACATCATACCGGTACACCGAACTTCGACGGTGATATGCTATACGTATATGTGCATGCGATTCGCCTTCCCCAAATCCTCTCCCTAACCTCCAATGATAGTGGGACATACAAGCATCTAATTGGCTGAAAATACCTGTCCATTGGCTGAAATCATTCAAGGCGTGTCGCATCTCCCATGTCGCATGTGAATGGCCACATTTACGCATGTGGGCTTGCCACGCAATCCCATTATCGTTTTCTACCACAAACACAAACATGGCACTCTCAGCGGACGACCTTATTCGTCTCGTGGAATCGTCGCCTGGCGCAGCAACTGCCGCCTTGGCAGAATTGGGGGGCACCGAGGGTGTGGCGTGGAATCTGAATGTGTCGCTTGAACACGGTCTCAATTCCGCCGACGACGACGATTTGGAGGACCGTCAACGACGATATGGCAAAAACTACGTCGAGCCAGAGTCTGCCAAAACATTTGTGCAGCTCATGTGGCATTCCTTTCAGGTAAGCCACGTATCGCCTTGGTTCTATCAATAACGTTAGCTCGTTCTAGGACTTGACCATGATGGTGCTGGCCGCCGCAGGTTTCGTGTCGTTGGTGCTGGGGTTCGTTCCGTTCACGGCGTCTACTCCGGCAGCTGGTCGGAATTTGGCAGCAGGCTCTAGTCATGCCTGGATCGAAGGGGTGGCTATCCTCTTCGCCGTGTTCATTGTCGTGTCCGTGTCCGCCATGAACGAGTATCAGAAAGAAAAGCAGTTCCGCGCCTTGAATGCAGTCAAGGAGGACGAAACGATCAAGGTCATTCGTGACGGCGTGCCCGCGGAAGTGAGCAAGTTCGACCTGGTCGTGGGGGAGATTGTCCGCGTCGATGTCGGCGACATCGTGCCCGCGGATGGGTTGGTGTTTGACGAAACGGACTTGCGTGTGGACGAAAGTTCCATGACGGGCGAGTCCTTGTTGGTCGTCAAGAACAGCAAGTCGGCTCCTTTCTTGCTCTCGGGCACCAAAGTGATGGAAGGCGTGGGCAAGATGCTCGTGATCTGTGTGGGGTCCAACTCCCAAGCCGGCATCATTGCCAGCTTGATTCGCAACGGCAACCACAACCACAACGCGACCGTTTCCAAGACCAATGGAGGCAGTGCCGACGAGTACACGTTGGTAAGCAGCCCCAAAGAAGGACTCGTGGAGCAGAAGCTGACCACGGACTTGCAAAACCAAGAACCCGGCTCGCCATTGCAAGGAAAGTTGGACCGGCTAACCATTTTTGTCAGCAAAGTGGCCATCACGGTTGCAGTTCTCGTGTTTGCCGCCCTCGCCGTTCGGTATTCGATCGTCAAGTTTGCGATCAACGGCGAAGAGTGGAGCCAGGCGTTTATCGGAGACTTTGTCAGTCACTTTATCCTCGGCGTCACGATCTTGGTGGTTGCAATTCCGGAAGGTCTACCGTTGGCCGTGACGATCGCGCTGGCGTTTTCCGTGAAGAAGATGCTCGAGGACAACAACTTGGTGCGCCACTTGTCTGCGTGCGAGACCATGGGAAGCGCCACCACCATCTGTTCCGACAAGACCGGCACCCTCACCACCAACCGCATGACTGTTGTCCATTGCTACATGAGTGGCAACGAATACGAGTCATTCCCAACCCTTCAGCTCCAAATGTCGCCAACAACGAAAGCCATCTTATGCGACTCTATCTGCTTCAACTCGACGGCCGAGATTCTGCCGCCCAAGCAAGTGGGGGCGCAACCCGAACACACGGGCAACAAGACCGAGTGTGCGCTGCTTCAGTTTGTAGCCGACCTCGGCGAGCATTACGCCGACGTCCGCAAAGCGTCGCACATCTGTCACATGCTCACGTTCAGCAGTGCCAAGAAGCGCATGTCCGTGGTCGTGCCTCTGACCGCATCGAAGTGCCGCATCTTCACCAAGGGCGCTAGTGAAATCGTTTTGGAGTTGTGCACGTCGCAGCTCAACTTGGACGGCACCACGTCCGCGTTTGGTGCTGCGGAACGTAACGCTGTCAAGGACAACATCATCGAAAAGTATGCATCGCAAGCCTACCGCACGTTGAGTCTAGCGTACCGTGACGTGGACGCATCTCCGGAAGTGGTCAAGAACTGGTCGGACGAAGAGATTGAGACGGACCTGACGTGCATTTGCATCGTCGGGATCGAAGACCCGGTGCGCGACGAAGTGCCGGAATCCATTCGTCATTGTAACGAAGCGGGCATTGTCGTGCGCATGGTGACGGGCGACAACATTGCAACCGCAAGGTCCATTGCGCTCAAGTGCGGAATCATCAGTCCCGACGACGGGTCGCTGGTGATGGAGGGGTCAGATTTCCGCGCTCGTGTGTTGGACGCGAACGGAAACATCAATCAGAGTGAGTTTGACAAGATCTGGCCCAAGCTTCGCGTGTTGGCTCGGTCGAGTCCCAAGGACAAATTTACTCTTGTGAGTGGTCTTCAAGTTGCTGGTCAAGTGGTGGCAGTGACGGGCGATGGGACGAACGACGCCCCGGCTTTGAAGAAGGCGGACGTCGGGTTTGCGATGGGGATCTGCGGCACGGCGGTGGCCAAGGACGCGTCGGACATCATTCTCATGGACGACAACTTCCGGTCGATCGTGAATGCAGTCAAGTGGGGCCGCAACGTGTACGACTCGATTTGCAAGTTCCTCCAGTTTCAGCTGACGGTGAACGTGGTCGCTGTGACCATGGCCATGACTGGCGCGGTCGTGTTGGAAGAATCGCCGCTTACTGCGGTGCAGTTGCTGTGGGTCAACTTGATCATGAACGCGTTCGCTTCGCTCGCGCTCGCGACGGACATGCCTACGGACGCGATGCTCCACCGAAAACCGTATCCCCGCAACAAGGCACTGCTTTCTCAAACAATGACCAAGCACATCTTTGGCCAAGCGGTGTATCAGCTCACGGTGCTGATGCCCCTGACCTTTGTAGGCGACAGCCTCTTAGGTATTGAGTCTGGCCAGAAGTACAAGCGAGGGGGGGCCACTGGCCCCACATTGCACTACACGATGGTCTTCAACACGTTTGTGCTGTTTCAACTGTTCAACGAAATCAACGCCCGGCGCATCCACGACGAACCAAACGTGTTTGAAGGGATTTCGCGCAACCGAACGTTTGTCGTCATGGCCAGTGTGCAAGTGATTCTGCAAGCGTGCATCGTTCAATTTGGATCTGTCGCGTTTGGGTGTGTGGCCCTGAATGCGACGCAATGGGCGATTTGTGTCGCGATCGGCTCCACGTCGCTTCCCGTGCGATTTGCATTGCGCTGGTTCTCGGCGAGGTTGATGCCTCAGTGGTGACCCTAGATAACACACCTTAAAATATATGTTATCATTTAGAAGTGGCCTGCTTACTACCTACTTTACATCATCTACATACATAACAAACGTAAAAAGCCAGTTTAAGATAACTTAACCAATTTAGGATAACTTTGTATTGCCCAATCACAGCTCGTTATTTGTTCGAGTCAAAACCTTTGTGATATAATGCTGACCATTCTGTCACGTGAATGAAATGCAAAAACGGAGTAGAAGCCATCGGTAACAGTCATTCAAGATTGGGTTTGAAGTAACCTAGTCGACACGGGCACATTGGGTTGGATCTGGGGTTTTGTCAAGTGTTCAACTCCGTGGACATCCATCCACAACAGAAATATAACTCTATAAAACAGTACCCTTGTATAAATTATATACAACCTGTTGTAACCGCTTACCCTAAACACAGAAGTTCAATGCCCCGACACATACATACTTTAAGATAAAAAAAGTTATCCTAAATTGGTTATCAAAATGTGAGTACAAATGCTTAGAATATTACCTGTGAAGTTCATCGCCTAACTGTAAACTGATAATTCGATTATGGAGTCAAAGCGGCGCGTCTTGTCTATTGGGATAACTATTCAAAACTCAAATATCGTAATGGACTCAAAAGTTATGTCCATTCTACTCCGACGCCTCCAAAAAAGTTTTAAAAAGTTATCTTAAATTGGTTTTTTACGTCAGCTCCATCTACACCTTTGTCAGAGCTATATTTCTTTCGTTTCAGGGCATCGCACAAGGTAACTAGCTCCATCTACACCTTTGTCAGAGCTATAATTCTTTCGTTTCAGGGCATCGCACGAGGTTACTGTACACCGCTCTACCGACCCATCCGAGGGGGTTAGTCAATCTCTAGCTCCACGTACAGGGAGCATTAACGTCCCAAAATTTCAACAAATTACGAAAGAGTATTGACGAAGTTGTGAAAAAAATTCGCCCAAACATACGGTGGACGGAAGACGAGCAAATTTACAGTTAGTGTCCGCACTGAACGAAAAAGCACTAAATATCACCTAATTTCCTGGATAAATAGTAGTAGAAATAATATGGGTGAATATGATCACTTTGCGGACACCGTTCGGATAATTTCATTCGGACATACTTGACATTTGTATTGGACTTAAGGCGAACATATTTTGTCCGAGTGAAAGTGTCCGAACGGAATATGTTCGGACATACTTGTGTATTGTATCCACCCGCATAAGAACGATCAGCTTTACAGTAGCGAGCGACGACAGAGCATCCGCCCACAAAATTGCGCGCACCGCAGCGTAGCGGAGGTCGTGTGTATAATTTTGTGCAGGCGGTGCCTTGGCGAGGAGTGAGCCCCAATCGTGCACTTCACCGAATGTCCAATCGATTCCTCTTGTCGGGAAAAGCGGCAGGTAGGCCGCAGGCCGTGCCGCTACCCGGACAGGGCCTATGGTACAACTATTCGCATTTAATGCGTAAATCGACTGAAGTGCGTGTCCTAAGCACATATCAAGCAAATATTTGTCCGAGTCGTTATGGTAACTTATGGTTACGGATACTACTGTTGCCAGTGGAGATGCTGTTAACTGTAAATTGGAATACAGTAGAAATAAAAACACCGTTGGAAATTCACTTCGAGCAAATAGAAATTCTGCGGGGACTACTGTAATTTCTAAAAAGGCCGGATAGTGCCAAAATAGCAAACCGTAAAAGCCAAGTTTGACTTGAACCATGTGTGTCTGTGTCTATTGTGCTTTGCACTTGTTTTGGCGTCGGTTTTACGTGGCTAAAAGAGTGGTACTTCTGCTGTAACTGTGTTACAAAGTTGAATAAATACCTGGTGTTTTAGCTAATTCACTGGGGTTTTATAAATGCCTACTTCCTCTGTCATTCTTTACTGTGACCATTTGTACTTCTAGCGACCCCAAAAATTCATATTTTATCGGATTTCGTCGAGTGACATCTAGAAAATTCGACAATCAAAATATAGAGGTAGCGCCTATTGGCGATAAGGGGTGAAAACCAGGTTTTGGGGGTAAAAACCAATGGAGACTAAACGCCCTCAGAAAATTATTTAAAAAATGTTTATAAAATTATAAATAAAAACTCTGGGTCATGAGCTTCTTTTGCCACAAGTTCGCATTATGAGCCTCAATTTTGAATTTGCCGCCATGAGCCCAGCCCCGCGGTCAACACGTGAACTCACCCCAGGAATGAAGATGGAAGTCGTGTTTGCCCTCCAAGATGCCATACACAATGGCAAGCTCGCACGTGGTTTTATTCAAGCCACAGCTATTCGCTGTCAAGTCGGTCGCACCACCGTCCGCAAGTTATGGCGCGACTTCATGAGCGGGTCGATGGCATCCAAGAAGAAAGGGCGTGTCGGACCGAAACCTCGCCACACCTCGGCTGAGGTCACCGAAATCGTTCGTAGCGTGCCGTCCCGCGATCGCAGCACCATGCGCGACATAGCTTCCTCGACGGGGATTTCCGTAAGCACACTTTGCTGCCACTTGAAGTCTGGGACGATCAACCGTCGATCGTCCCGACTCAAACCACTACTCACTGATACCAACAATTTCGAGTGGCTGGCATTCTGTAGAGCCCACGTAAACATTCAGTTCGATGCCATGAATGCTTATCTCAGCAGTTGCGGCAGAGACGCTGTCGACGCGTTCGAATTCCACGAACCCGCCGAATACCCTGGTCGCGCCGAATTTCACTTCTCCGACATGTGGGACGTGGTGCATCTCGACGAAAAATGGTTTAATGCTGACAAGGACTGCTGAAAAACGTACCTGGCGAGAGGGGAAGTCCATGAACGTCGTGCCTGCAAGTCAAAGCGCTTCATACCAAAAGTGATGTTCTTGGCGGCCGTGGCCCGTCCTCGCCTTGAAGAAGGTTTTGACGGCAAGCTTGGCATTTGGCCCTTTCATTGTTGAGAAAACGCCGGCCCGTCGAAACTCCTGCAATCGTCCTGCTGGTGCATTGGTGACGGCGTTGGTCAACGTGGATGGGAAGACGTACCGTGACTATGTCGTCAACAAGGTCGTGCCGTCCATCAAGGAGCGATTCCCCAGCAGAACCAAACGAGTTGTACTTCAGCATGACAATGCCACTCCTCATGGGTCCATCGATGAAGGCACTATGACTGCTGTGTCGACGGATGGGTGGACATTTGTGGTCCGTCGACAGCCGCCAAATTGTCCGGACCTTAACGTCCTGGACATTCGGCTTCTTCGTATCGATTGAAGCACTACAATACAAGATGGTGAGTCGGTCGATGGACGATGTGATTGAAGCTACATTGTCCGCCTTCGAGGTTCTCAGTAGTGATAAGTTGAGTAGCATCTTCCTTACCCTGCAGGCGGTGATGCGCCTTGTAATGGAACACCACGGCGACAAGAACTTTAAGTTGCCCCATCTGAAGAAGGATACATTGAGACGTGCTGGAACCCTCATGGCGAATGTTACATGTCCTGCTTCGCTTCTCTTTCACGTGAACTCAATCCTCCAGCAGTCCAGTCCTTGAGTCGATAAGATTTATAGCCAATGAAATGTATATATTTCATAATCAACCGATCACAATAATATGGTCATAGTATTGTGGAAAAAGTGCAATCTTGAAGTGGTCACAGTAAAGAAGGACAGAGGAAGTAATAGAGCTCTTTCGAAAACCTGTTGAACTAGAGTTTGAGTTTCGCCATGTGTTTTCCAGTGATTTAATCGGTAAATGCAAAAACACTGTATTTGAAACGAAACCCCAGTTGACACAAGTCGGCCGATGTCTCAACGGCGATTTGAGTTTCGAGTTTCGACAGTAGTACAAAGATCACTGGCTAGCGCATGCATAAATGTCGAATGATCGGGCAAATTTCGAAGCAAACAACCGATGGCACTGCTTATCCCCGCCTTAACACTCCAACAAGCTGCACAGCTTGTAGCGATCCTGGTATGATGTGCTCGGGGACGTATAGGGGTTCTTCGCCGATTGCTATGCATTTGCGTACAATACAGCATCCTTCGCTTACGCGCACCAGCCGGAGTACCAGACTACAACAACGCCTTCAACCCACGGCTTGATAGCGCCACGGCAATCGATCGATATCGATTTTCAATGCCCCAACTGGAGTTGCTTGGAGAACGGCTTGGGCTCCCAGGACGCATCACCACAAAGGCCGGCGACAACGTGACGCGCCTCGAATCGCTCTCGATCATCTGTCGCCGCCTCTCCGAATCATCGAAGTTGCTCACAATTGCCAAGGAGTTTGGGCGCTCCCCTGCGGCAATCAGTCGCATCGTCAAGCACGTTGCTCGTTTACTCTATGGAATGCACAAGAGTAAACTGTACTTCAACCGAAGGCTCATCACGTCCAGGATTGCGGCGTACTGCAGTGCCATAAACGAGAACGGAGCACCCTTGACGAACGTTTGGGCATTTATTGATGGTAGTGACTTTTACATTATTGTTAATGTGTAGCGAGTAATATATTTGTATTCATAGGTACTAAGCGTATATTGCACGCCCAACTCCAAGGTCTGAATACAGTGATCGCTACGAAAAATCTTCAGTGTTCGGTGTACAACGGACATCCGCGTCGACATTGCCTCAACTGGCAAGCACTTACGACACCTGATGGTATTATTCAAAGCGTTTATGGCCCCGTCGAAGGTCGCTGACATGACAGCACAGTTTTGAGCTACAGTAAGATTATGGATGTCTTACGCGACGATGTGGACGGAACATTCGAAGGCCGATACGTGTATGGCGATCCGGCGTACGGCTGCAACCGTTTCATGATCTGCCCCTTTGCGTCCCCGGCCGCCGACAGCAATGAACGCCGATTCAACGCCCGAATGAGCAAAGTTCGCGAAGCCGTGGAATGGAGCTTTGGCCGCCTCAAAATCCTGTGGCCATTCGTGTTTGACGACAAGAAGATGCAAGTACGACGAACACCCGTAGGCAAGTTGTTTTACGTGGCCGTTCTGTTCACCAATTGTCACTGCTGCATGCAGCCCATGGGAAATCAAATTTCGATGTATCTTGGTCTTCAACCACCAACACTTGATGAATATTTTGGATAATATTTTACAAAAATATACTATGGTGCACTTTATGCATAGTCCACCGATGAGTAAGGACGAGTTGGACAAGTGGCGTTTGGGGATGGATGGAAAATATATTCTTTATATAAAAACGCCCCGCTATTCTAAATCGAAGTTCCCTATTGTCCGTTATTTTGTCGCGCCATTCCTACAAGTGCAAGTAGAAAATCCTGAGTCTGCTTATCTTTAGCTAAATCGCGCAAGTATTGACGTTCTTCTCGCTCTTCCTCGCGCCGCATCCTCTTCTCCTCACGTTCATCA